AGTGTTTTCAAAACGTCGCTTGGTCACTTTACCTCCTTCCGGTTCCGCTTTCATCATTAATGTCTCTCAGAATTTGCTCGAAAGTCGCTTTGAGAGCAGAGTCACTGACTGGGAGAGCTCCACTCTACCGTCTTCAACGTCGGAATCAGTGAGCTCTGCCGTCACTTGCGTGACATCTGTGACATCTTTCTGCGACACGAGCTCAAAGACTGTCTTGATGACCTCCTTTGTTCCGGCCACGGACGGGCAAGTCAAAATCGCTGAACGATCTGTGATCCTGATAAATATGTTGCAGCGCTGATGCTGCTTTTTTTTTGGCTTTCGGGACCTTTTTTCGTACGTATTTAAGCGGCTTAACCGCTGTGGGTGATACCCGAGAGCTACCAACACGGTCGATTGTGGACGGCCAATACGGGGTGCCAATCTGCTTTATGTCACGCAGCACAATAAACAGTGTAAACAAGACTCGTGCAGCAGCTGCATTCTTCTTAAGGTGAAAACTGATTCTTTTCGGGATCCCGGGATTGGCGGAATTTCGGGATCGGGATCGGGATTAAAATCCCGCCGGGATCCCGGGATTGCAATCTACGTAGCACAAATTTGAAGCCGAAGTATTGATGAAATCAGTACAGTAAGTTGAATACCCATGGATTATGCCACTTGCTACAATTTTTGGTGATTACAAAGGTTGAGTCGAGGACATCATAGGGGAAGAATTTAGAGAGCTACCCAAGTTCCAACACACTTTTCTGTCACACTGTAACACTATTGGCTGTTGAGTTTTATACCAATCGGTCAAAATTATTTTAATAGGTGAAACTTTGTATTGATAATCTTTGAAGAACTGACCTTTGACTTGAACTAAACAAGATGAATGTTACTTTTTAATGACTTTCTCCATCTGAAACTGCCACGGCCATATTGTCTTGGGCTGGGCTTCCTTCTGCATGTATCATATTCTCTGTTACAAATTAAATCTCAAAAATCTGAGCTGGGGGCTGCAAGTATGAACGAAATAAATATAGGAAGGTTTACTTCAAGCCGATGCAAATTCAGTAGGCACAAATTTAAATCATTAGACCAAGTCAATCAGCATTATGATTGCCAGAACATACTGACTGCTCAGCAAAAATCTTTAATAAACAAATTCAACTAGTAGGTACAACAGAGCACTTACCCACAAAAACTGTTGAGCTTGCATTGCAGAGCTTCACTATGCTTCGGCCACAGAGTCCAATTTGTATGTAAGGAGCAGCCATTTCAAAGTGTGTGAAAGCACTGAAAAGGATTCATAAGCAGCTGTAATATTAAGTCAATAGTACTATTTTTACATTACGCAGCAACTTAAGCATGAAATCAAATTGAACATTTAAACATTATCTGAAAACGATCAACAAGATTAACATAAAACTGATTTGCATTTAATCCATTTAACATTATCAAAGATCGGCAGTATGTAATAGAGATAATGTATGCATGCACATTAAAATGCACCTTTATATAAGGGAAATTGTATAATATGTATAAAGCTTGTATTGAAATGAAAATACACCGAACACCATACATCCCATAAACTTGCATGGGTCAGGCCAAGGCTATATAAACCAGGTAGAACGCTCCCGAAGAAAAAGTGGTGACAAGCAATATTTAGTTGCCGCGACCCTCACTTGTTCAAGACTATATCCGCAAGCAGCATTTACAAGCTAGCGGAAATCGACCAATCGGCGTTCGGCAATACTCAACGCTGATTGGCCCGATGCTCGTGACGAAATTGCGGGGGACTGCAGCCATTCCCCTATGGCGTTTCATTGACTTATGACAGTGGCGGCGGAAGGTATTCTAGGATAGGGGTGCAAACGATATTGAAGCGCCCCTTCCCACTGGGCGCCCCTTACCATATACACGGTTGTAGTAACACAAACAGTGAAGAGACGTTTGACAATGTGTTGTACCTGTTAACACGTTCAGAATTACAGTTTTTATGTAATGAGAAATAGTTAGGTACATTCCATAGCGTAAATGTAACCTTCATAATGTTCGTTTAGGAACAACCTCATCACCATATCATAAGATTCTCCGAATAAGGCATATCGAAAAGAGTTCCACGGTTCCAATACCTTCGTGTGGACTAGTGAATAAGGCGCCGAATCCATAACACTAACTCGGTGACAGACAACTGCAGGCCGGTAAGCAGCATGCCGCCTGGGCTGCACTGCACTATTGCATTCAGTGGTGTCATCAGTATCACGTCAGCCCTTCGTAACGGACATCCTGGCTCAATGTCATCAGGTTTATGGTGGGAGTAGCAGGTTTGTGACGCCCCAGTGAAATAAATGCCGCCTTTCAACACCGATAGGAGCCCGAAATGAATGAATACAGGCAATCAACGCTGGTAGGTGTCCCATCGAAATGAATGCATCTATTACCACCCAGAGGTGCCCCCATTTCAAACTAGTGCGACGGCGACGCCTCCACACCGATAGGGGCCCATCCCAGGGGAACGGAATAAATGCCGCCCCCTCATTGCCGGGCGCCCCAGGAGAATGAATGTTACACATCAACACCAATATGCCTCCCAGTGAAATGAATTATGAATGTCGCCTTTCGACGCCGGTAGGCGCCCCAGACACCAGTGGATTTACTGCCGCCTTAAAACACCGATAGGCACCTCAGTGAAGCGAATGCCGGCCTATACCACCGATAAGCGCCCCGGATGAATAAATATCACCCGTCAACGCCGATAGGCGCCTCAGTGAAATTAATGCCGCCCCAATCTCCGATAGGCGCCCCAGGTGATACATGTCGCCCATCAACACCAACGGGCGCCCCATTGAAATGAATACCGCCCTTCAACACTGGCAGACGCCCCAGTGGAATGAATGCCGCCCCACAATGCCGATGGCCGTCCGTGCACTGGAAAATCATTTTCGCCCCTATACAGGCGCCCATAGAAGTTTGCAAAGTGCTATTCCTGGTCATAATCATCTCCCCAGTAAAAAAAAAAAACGCAAAATACGCCCTAGCACTAGGGGTGTAACCGCCCATACGGAGAGTGCAATTTTACAGGCCCCAATCTCGGACCTCCCTTAACATTCATATGTTGTAAACGGCAAACCGCCCCCGATAAATGTTACACAAACTAATTTCCTCTCGCATATCGGCCATCAGGCGCCCCTTTTTGTCGCATGGAGCCTGCAACGCTATAAGCCCTCATATGTTCGTGCATTGGCGTTCGGAGGCTATCGCCTTCAAAGACGTCTCCATAAATGTTTCTTTTTCGTCCCACACACAGGCGCCCCTCTTTCGCATGCAGGCGCCCCTCTTCCGCATGGCGCGCTTCTCGAGTGGCTGCGCCCTCCTAGCCTTTAATCTTTATCGCCTGGCAAGATTATATTCGACAGGGTCGGCAGCATCTGCCTTTGTTTCAGATGATGCCCTCCACTCTTCAGCATATCAAAAGATACTTTTCCCACGTCATTGCCACCCTCTTCGTGTCACAAGTGCCTTTATCAGTTGCGGTGTCGCACTGCTCAGCTTTATGGCTGCCGCACCTCTTAACTTCCTGCCTCCTCTACAGATTTTCGAGGCGCCCCTTTCCATAGCTTTAGGGTGCAGCTGCCCCCCTTGCCCCCCTGCTTCCGCCGCCACTGACTTATGACTTTTGAAGGGGATTTGTATCAGTTTTTGTTGGGTTTGAGGCCATTTTTGAGCTTGGATATTCTTTCCGTGACATTTGACTATATAATAACGACATTTAATCATGACATTTCTATATACTACCGGTGTCACATCGGCCAAAAAGACCGTAAGTACATGGGATAGACGGACCACTGCTGATGGGGCCACACATGCCGGCGTGTGGTCATCGGAGGCCCATGAGGGCTCGACATGGGCCCTTTGTGGGTCGGTATAGGCCCAGTGGGCCCAGTGCAGGCCTACCAGGGGCCGGTGGCATATAATGTAAGGCTGTCTCGGGACGTTGAGGGCTCATGGGGGCCATATAGGACCATTAGGGACCACATAAGCCAATCAGGGGTCCATTTAGGCCAATAAAGGCGCTTCAGGGACTTGAAGAGGCCATTCAAGAGCCGTGGTGGGCCCATGAGGGGACGGCATTGGTCCATCAGGTGCAGTCAGGGGATGTTGTACGGGTTTCTCAGTGGCCCATTTGGGCATATCAGTGACCAATTTAGACCCAGCAGGGGGCTTTGTAGACCTATCAGGGGCTGGTGATGGTTTATCGGGGGTCAGCGTTAGTCCATCGGGTCACGGCATATGCCCATCAGAGGTAATTGCGGGCCCACGCTGAACAATGATGGCCCTTCAACGGCCCCTAATGGATCTAGATTGACCCATGTTCCATGATGTGTCATGTATGCCCCTATGGCAGGCCTACTCAGACCCCTGATGGACGTTCCCGGCCTCTGATGACCCTATACTGAATCCTGGTGGGGGCTCTAGGAGTCTCCAATAACCCTTCTTCAGCCCATTATTACCATACGCTGGCACTAGAGGCCCCACATCAGCCGCAGGGCAGTCCGTGCCAAGACAGCATGTCTTTTCGGCCGATATTACATCGGCAATATTAATTAAAATCATGATTTTATGGTGCCATTATATAGCTAACAGTCACAAGAAATATATTTCAACTCGAAAACAGCTCGAAACAGCATATAATCTTAAAGAAACCCCTCCGAAATCCAAAAGCCTATTCGGGTCCATAGAGAATAACTGCGGTCCCCCGCAATTTCGTCACGAGCGTCGGGCCAATCAGCGTCGAGCACTGCCGAGCGCTGATTGGTGGATTTTCCGCTAGCGCGTGAGTACTGCTCGCGGAACAAGAGTTCGTCGACAATCCTCCACAAACGTCTGTCACCACTTTTCGTAATGCTAAACAGCCGGAGCGTACCCCCCTGGGTCAGGCTTTGAAGAAATGTTTGTTTTGACTAAACTATTTTGTTGGAGAAAATGACGTCACAGTCTATTTATTTTTTGTTATCACTCCTTTTTTCTTTCATGAAATGTTTGCTTTACGTACTTCCGGCAAAAAATGTGAATATTTGATTAAAATTTATAAGTTATGCTGTGTTACTAATATAAAATGATTTAAACGTAACTTAAGAGTAATACTTTTTTCTCAGCTGGACACAAATACAATAATTGCGCTAAAGAGACAAAACTGGCAGAAGAACTTTATGCTCTACTTCCTCAGCCCGCAAGCCTGCATACAGATGAGTCGATGCGAGTCATGGAAGTTGGAAGATTCTAGACCGGTAAGTCTTGAATATAAGAACCTTTGAACAGTGGCCTTCTTTGCTTTTATACACATTTTGCCCGATCCGGTCAACCCCAAGTGTTATGCAGGCGGGTTTGAAGAACGTCAAATGCCCTGGCCCCTGCAGTTATTGGTATTGAGGTTTGTGATATGGTTATTGAGATAGAGCTTTTCATTTTGATTTGCTTTTTGTTGCTTTTTCGTTTTGCTCCTTATCAACTGCCTGGATGTTTTATTCTTTTTAAATATAGTTTATACCCGTGAAGACGCCTGGGAATTGTGAATTGTGTAACTAACGCGTCATATTGGTTGAGGTGTATCGCTTCCATATGCAACCATATCGAGGCAAGATATAAAGGTTTGGTCATGACATTTTTTTCATAATGTTAAAAAACTGTCGCGTATCTTTGGGATTTTGTACGGGTTTCCCCAGATATTTAACGCCCTTGACCTAAATATCCACCTTATTTCGGACCTTGTCCTTCTATAAATAGCTACGATTACTAGGTATTATATCTTCGCATAGATGTAGAGTTTCAAATTGTTATGTTATCATCCGTGATCCGACCGTTCCAGCCATCGGTCTACGGCGCAGTCCAGCCCAGGAATTGGACTGGGGGCGGGGGCGGGCACAAAGTGCGCCAACCGGACCGGACCGTGACCACTGGCTGACGTGTGCGTCACCTCGCTGCCAAACGGTGTCATGCGGGTTTGCCTAATTCAATATACCCTGGGTTTGCCTACCTGTCAGACAGTCTGGCTGTCCGTCTGCCAGATAGTTATGGCATCGCATGAATCGTGCCAAATGCGGTCTAGAACCGCCATCTCATGCCAAATCTCGGCGATGTCTAGCTGTTTTGACCCAATTTAGCGCGGCCGTCTTAGCTTCACATTTTGTGATGTTTTGGCGATGGATTACACGATAGTGAATGTAGGAATTTAAAACACTAAAGGACGATCCATTTAAGCACATTACGTGATTATGACACTATGCATTTTAGACAGGACCGTTAAAAGGCCTAAGCGGCCCTAAAGATAAGTGTTAACAGTTCAGTTTCTTCCCTTGAGTCAGCATAACTCCGTTATAAGCTCGAAAATGTGGCCAAACGATGCCGCGGTTTCTAGCGACAAATTAGCACAAAGGTAACGTAACGGTGACACGTTGAATTAGCACGGAAGTAACGGTTACACGGCAAATCAGCGCGGAGGCATCACCGGGTACCCGAAATGCGCGATCAATGTTGCTGTCATGCTGGGTTGTCTACCTGTTGGGCAGTCTGGCACCAAATGAGCAATGATCTGTCACCGAACGATGCTGCCGACTTCGGTAGAAAGTTTGGACTTGGGGCCAACTATAAGTGCTATCTGGGCTCTGGCGTTTTCTTGGGACCTGAGGGGATGGCATGGCAATTTGTGTTTGGTAGGTATCGGGATGGATCTTTGGTTTTCTGACATAGATGCAGATTCTTTCTCCCGAAACGGATGAACTGTGCGTTAGAAGTGCTTGTTGATAAATACGTTTGTTATGGTCTATGGATTGGAAGAGAGACTCCAGAGGCCCTTTTAGGTTCTGTATGTGACTTGTCGAATAGTCGAGCTGCGTTGCGGTCAAACTAGATGAAATAAGAAAGTAGCATCTAGAGTAACTAAGGTTAGCGACTTTCAACGATAACGTAGATAAGTACTGAAATAGTTTGCCTAGCCTTTCTCTGGTTGTTACAGCATTTTTCATCCTCATGTTCAAACGATGACGATCCGTTCTTCGGGGCGACAATTACAACCCACATCCACATCCATTCGCCAAACCTGTGCTCTTTTTTAAAGTTTGACCGCCGACGAAGCGACGCAATCTGTTCACCTGTGCTGACAGCGAGCACTAATCGTCGCTGTGATCTCTGGCCTGTGTTACGACAGATGCGCGCGTCCTCCGACAGGTGGTGCTCCGGCACAGGCGGTGCGGCGGGCGCCATGCTTCCGCGGCGGCTGGGCTCCTCGGAGCCGGCCAGCCCCAGAAAGCGGCTGCGTCACAGCGCCGACCGACCGGCCAGTCGCTCCAGCTCTGCCGAGGACTGTAGTCGCACGACTGAGACGGCGGCGGTACGACGGGAGAACGGCTGCGCTGCGGACACCATGCACGACACGGTCGGTGAGATTCTGCACAGCGGGGACGGTGAGCGGCTGGCTCTGGGCGCCGATGGCGATCGGACGCTGCATGGTGTCGATGGCGATCAGCTCATCTGCGGCGCGGCCGGCGAGCCGGCGGCTGCACTCTGCGCGACTGTGGGCGCCGCTGGTGGTGGTGAGAACGGAACCGTTGAGCCGCGCGTGAACGGTGTGCTCAACGGCAACGGCAAGCACCCGCACTGGCCGACCGAGCACCTGCCGTCGATGCCCTGGTTCGGCATGGACATCGGCGGCACGCTCACCAAGATCGTCTACTTTGAGCCGACCGACACGTCACCAGACGAGGAGGCCGAGGAAGTGGAGACGCTAAAAAACATCCGCCGCTACCTGACCAGCAACTCGGCCTACGGCTCGACCGGCCACCGCGACTCGCACCTGCAGATGAACAACGTGCAGATCTGCGGTCGCCAGGGCACGCTGCACTACATCCGCTTCCCCACCTGCGAGATGGGCAACTTCCTCGAGCTGGCCAAGTCGAAGGGCATGGCCACGCTCGCTTCCACCATCTGTGCGACCGGTGGAGGCGCCTACAAGTTTGAGGAAGAGTTCCAGCGTGAAGTCAACATGCAGCTGCACAAGTTTGACGAGCTTGACTCCCTGTTGAACGGCCTACACTACATCGAGAACAACAACAGCCACGAGCTCTACTACTGGGAGGAGCCGTGCGACGACCGGCTCTGCAGGAAGGTACCGTTCGACTTCAGCCAGCCGTACCCGTACCTAGTGGTGAACATTGGCTCCGGGGTGAGCATCCTGGCCGTGTACGGACCGGACGAGTACAAGCGCGTCTCGGGCACCAGTCTGGGCGGCGGCACCTTCCTCGGCCTCTGCTGCCTGCTCACCGGCTGCTCCACGTTCGAAGAGGCCATCGAGCTGGCGGCGCGCGGCGACCACACGCGCGTCGACAAGCTCGTGCGAGACATCTACGGCGGCGACTACGGCCGGTTCGGCCTCAGCGGCGACACGGTCGCCTCCAGCTTCGGGCACATGCACGTGCTGCAGCGCCGGAAGGCGGTCAACCGGTGTGACCTGGCACGCGCCACGCTGGCCACAATCACCAACAACATCGGCTCCATCGCGCGTCTGTGCGCGGTCAACGAGCAGATCGAGAGGGTCATCTTCATGGGTAACTTCCTGCGCGTCAACGAGATATCTATGAAGCTGCTCTCGTTCGCCATGAACTTCTGGTCGTCTGGCCAGATGAAGGCGCTCTTCCTGGAACACGAGGGGTACTTCGGGGCGGTGGGCTGCCTGCTGGAGCTCATGAAGACGCGCCAGGAGTGACCGGGCGGGCGAGATGGGGGTTCGGGCGGCGTCGGAGCCCGAGCGGGGACCGGTCCGCCGACCCGCCGGTCCGCCCCGCGGCGGCGGAGGCGGGAGGGACGGGACGGCCTCCGCCCGGGCTATCTCGTGCCTGCATATCAGGGCGGTGATGTGACCATTTACTCGGCGTCGGACGAGGTCGGGTCTGCTACGCAGTGCTTCGTGAAAAACAGGGCTCTGTCCACTGCTGACTCAGGAATCCAGTCAGATCGAGAGTTTTTACCACGGTGAATGGGACGAATGACTGCCAAGTCAGCGGCAAACAGACCTTGGCGGCACGGCCTTCATGTCAATTTCGGAAAAGAGCGGCACATCGCTTGTGTAAACGTGTTAATTTGCTGTGACATTTCGACAAATGAAGCCGCATACGCTACGCTACAAGCCCAGCATCCTATTACTCCAGAAACGTGTCAACCAATCCCATCAGTGTTGCGTATTTATAATGAATAATTTCAGCTATACATATAAGTTAAACTGTGTTACAGTGTCAGTGGGTTGGTTTTCATAAGGCAGTCTTGCATACATATAGATTTGTACAATGGAAGCCATTGGCTGTAACAGCGACACTATGGCGACCTTGCTTTGTGAGAAAGTGACAACACCATTAGTTACCTTCCTTGCCAGATTGCGCCGAGGCCTGACGGTGTTTTGTCGGCAATCAGTGATGGTGATGGGCACCAATATCGGATATAATCGATCGCGACGCACCGGGGAGTATCCGTTAACGCCGTGAGGCTATTTGCTCATTTCTCGTGTGTGACTTCCGTGGTTGCTCTGGTCCGTAATTTGCGACGATATGCCCTGAACACGAATCTGGTTCACGGCGTCTTTGTAGTGAGAGGTGCAATATTTCTATGCCGTTTTATCGCGCAACGCAGGTCATTTTTAGATATTTGCAGTATTTTTGCGGCGTGTGCGTGCGCTAATAGCGGCGGTACATTGTTGGCGCATTTGGTTATCCAGTCGCGTGGCACGGTGATGGTATGGGGATTTGTAGGAAAATATTGCATCTCCGTATGTATATTGTAGTAACCTTGAGCAGGTGCTAGGATGTGCGTGTCGATGAATGTGGGAGCGCGGACGCTCATAGGCCCACTCGCCTGATATGTCGTGTTCGTAGCACAGGCATTTCTTTCAAATCGGCAACGGGCACAGCGGAGGAGAGTGCATTTTGTTCGTACCAAGGGTGCGTAGGGATACTCATCAATCAAATATCCTCTTGCATCAATGCATCAATCAAATATCCGGCATTATAATTTATTTCAATCGTGCGAACAGTGTGTACAAGTATTACGGTTGAATTGTACCACGCAGGGATATTCGAGTACCTACGTTTTGTGGCGATACCACTGTTCGTTTCATATGACGGCATTACTCTGTTGATTTAACCGTTATTTATGCGTTGCGGGACCATCGGGTGCATATGTCATCGGAATACAACGTAGGACACTCACATGACTTGTATAAAAGAATATTGGCGCCGGAGAATCGTCGGTGGAGAGGTCAACTCATGAAGCGAATCGGCAGATGGAGGCATCCACGTCCTATGGCACTGTCACGCGCCGCGGAGCAGGTCACTTCGGGCCGGGATCCATCCTGGAACAGATGTCCCATTCGAGTAAGAGAGATTATAAGTTAAGACTGTTCATTTTGATGGTTTCATTTAATTTGCAAAAATATCCACATCATTGAAATAAATGCATCGCAAGGATCAAAATTAAACGTACTTAAATCGTAGCTCACCTATACGTCTGCTTCCCGTAGGTTATCTGAAACCCCACGTCGTTGGCAAGGGCGAACAAAATTGTTTTACCATTGCTGAAGCATAGCCATTCGTGCGTCGTAAAGCACTGAGTCTGAAGTTACCGAGGGTTACTAAATTTGAAGGCAAAAATGATCGTGCTTAACCATATATGGTATTAGCAACGTCCATGGTTTTATTTCAACGATTGTCACTGCTAGTTTTCCTGTTACACGTTTCTAAAAAGCGTTGAAAAAGTCTTATGGACGACACCGTTCCTTTTTCCGACACATGTAATTGCTTTCTTAATATATTCGTAGACTACTTGCTCTGTGCTACATAATTGTCCAATATATCTACATTTTACGGGCTACAATGCTATAAAAACGGAGTTAGTTTTCGTAATTCAATTTAGCTGTGCATAATTATTAATTATAAGCGAATTTTATTGGCGTGATTAGGTGGAAACGCTTCGAAACATGCCCAAAATAATCAGATTGAATAAAAATCGACTCTTAGTGATCATGACTAGCCTGTAATTAATTTTGCGTTTAAGTCAAATCGTCTCAACAGAAAAAAAAATGAGGTGACCTGCGTATCATTTTTGCGCATATTGGATTTGGGATTCAACGCTCAACCACCATGCCGAGCACGATGTGCAAGTGTATCCCCCAGCCATTACCGGTTCCGGGTGGCCGGTTTCACACGTGCCACATTGTCCACAATCTCCGCTCAGTGAACCCGTTTTACTCACATCATTTCACGCTCTGATTTCCGCTCGATCCGTATCGCAGGTGTTCTCGCTCCGTGGTGGAAATGTTCCTGTCGCCGCCAGTTGACACAGTTGGTGTCACCGGTCGGGCGCTGCGCGTGTTCGCCAAGCGATCACCAGTGATTATCGGCCACTTGCCAGCCGACCATCTGTGAGGTCACAGAGGCGCACCAACGGGCACCAGCTGGGGGACCAACATCGGCAGAGGCCCGAGCGTTCGGTCCTATCGACGGCTCTTGCCAATGCCAGATGCCAATGCTGTTTATCTCTCTGATAAATACTAGTTATGCAGAAGCTTATTCCTTTGATAACTGTGATTTTCTTCATCTTGAAAAGGCTCCATCCGTTCATCGATTTGTTTTATGCTTGCTTTTATCTTACCGATGGGTAATCACGACTGCAAATCAACGAGTAACTAACGCCACTGGCTTGCATATATCAGCACTTGATCGATTTGCCTAACTACGAAAGTAATATCACATATCAGTGCCTACCCTATAAGTAAATACAGTTGGAAGCGTTTTAATTTTTGTTAAGAGGAGACAAACTCACAAGAGAAGTAGAGATCGCCTGTGTGTACCGAACTATTTTCGCTGGTGACGTCCCTGCGTCTTATACGGTAACGCACTTGCTGGCAAGTTTAAAACAATGCATTTTTTCGTCGCCTTAGCAAGGGTTTTTACGCTGCAAGCCGATGACACGATAGCAACCGACATATTAGGTACTATTAGCTTTCACACCACTAGCAACTGCCACGTGTCTTAAGATTTTCGAAGAATCGCCAAGTCATTGAGAAGGTCTTAAAGGGTCAAACCGGAAGAATGTCAACAAAAGTCGCTAAATGCTTAGACATACGAGCGTGTATATTCTCCGTCGAATGAGCTGCAGCGCCAATGGCCTGCTTCGCGATTCTAAATCCCTTCTGTTCTATAGGACCTGTAATGTTTAAGTGGACTGATCTCTATGTTGTGGACAGGTGTTTTAACATTCACTTCATTTTGCATAAAACGACTCCTGAGTGATACGTTCTAATGGCACAGAAGTCTATTTATTTGTGTTTAGATTTACGGTCGTTCAAGTTTAGTGAATATTGCCCAACGACTTTTTGAATAATACCTAACAAGGTCCTATGAAAGGAAGCAGTGGCGCGGGAACCGGGGGGGCTAGGGGGGCTGAGCCCCTCCAACTTTTCGGCTGGGGGGCTCGTAATGTATTTGAGCCCCCCCCCCCCCCCAGCTGGAGGAATCGATATCGGAAATCTACCAACACAATTTCATAGATTCATAGGCGCGGGAACCGGGGGAGAGGGCAGTGGGGGAAGCTTGCCCTCACAACTCTGGGGCCGTGGGGGCGGTGCCTCACAACTTTTCATGAGGCCAGGAACCGTTGGGGCAGCTTGTCCTCCCCAAATTAGGGGTTGTGAGTCACAAAGGAAGAAAGCATGTGAGTGAAAAATCTACCTATTTTACTGACTCGGCAACTCATTTGGCAGCTTAAAACCTTTATTCCAGGTTGCCAAAACGGTAGTTTCTTCAGCATATTTACGTCTGGACAACGAGTTGCGTTGGAGAGGCCGGAAATAGTGGCGATTTCAGGACCGCAATAATGGACCGTCATTGGAGTGATTCTTTTTTTAAACGTGCACGGTTTTTAGCCGAAATTTAGTTCTTACTACAAAATATTTTGTAATTGGATTTTGGCCGAGAATGAATACCATCAGGGCTTATTTTTTACTGTCACTGTATTTTGTCCAGAAGCATATAGTGCTGTTTTATTGCAGTTTTTGCGCGTTTGTTACAAAATATGAAGCGAACCTGCAAAAAAGTTCCAAGTAACGTTGATGTATATCGCAAAATATCATATTGACCTCAAGTTCATCCGTTCCTTCCATGATTGACTAGACAGTTTAACACATTTCAATTTTATCTTGGATCAATCAGAGGTGTCCTTGTTATCAGTGCCAACTGCCAGAGGTTAACTTGAAGGGAAGCTATGATAATTGCTCTTGTCCATGTCCCTCCACTCACACTAAGAAGAAGTTATTACATATTTTGGTTTGTGTATTCCAAGAGGAGAGAGAAGTGGGAACTATTTTCTTTGCGGCTTCATGTCGAATTGAAGATGGATCATTAAATTTTCAAGGCGTTGATTAACCAGGGATTTAGTCTTTCTCGTACATAAGCAGTGGCTAAGAAGAAAAAGTTAATCATACCTTGTCCTGAAGTTCAGTCATCTTACTTCAACTCAAACTTTGCAGCAAGATCCCCAAGGACAGATGATATATTGTATACCCATCCTGTAAATCAAAGTTTTTTGTGCCTGCAAAGGCTTAAGTTATTTGTTGTGTGCTCGGAGTGAGGCTATGGGCGTTTTGTTGAATGTTTATGCGGAAATTGAATATACCTAACTGTGACCCTGTGATTGTTTGTATATTTACTACAGTCAAACAGCATATTCAAATAATTTACTCACCTAGCTCATCTCATAGCTGTACCCCGCAGGATTTGTACTTATTGATGTCTCGAGCAGGAACAAAGCACTAAACTAGCTTAGTTATCATTTCCCACATTTTTCTGAGCGTCAAACATGGCATACAGCAGTGCAGAGCAGCTTCAGAGAAGAAACACTTAAAATGCACAGACTCGCACCAGCCACCCAATGAGCCAGTTCCTCATTTGGCTGCTGTTACCCTGGATGTGGTTTGGCAAGGTGAGCTAACTGTTGTCAAGTTGAAGGTTAGGAGGTAAGATTGAGTTAGGGTGAGTACCTAGTACCTGTAACTGGGTGCTAATGCTATGGTCTTGGGTAAGTTGCAAATAAGTGTGATGATTGAGGTTAGGTCAGGTTAGTCAGGTATGAATTGATCAGGTCACATTTTTATGGACACTTGGCAAATTAGAAAAAACTAGCATGACCTAATCTTAGCTAACCCAACTATGCCTACATAACTACTAAACTACTGAGCACCTACCGAAATTGTGCCTACATCTCATACCAAGTCAAAATAAAGTTCCTTTCTGGAAGATCCCTCAGTCCCTCAGTACTTTTTATCCCAGCCCTGTGAAAACCTAATACTTCTAAGTTCTGAGTCCCTTCTGGCCATCCACAGAAAGAAATGCTGACAGCTTTGCTTGTGTATATTAGACCAATAATCACCATCACGAATGACTGAACACATGACATGATCACATCGTTGCATGGATTTTCACATTGACAATTTTACTTAAATCCTTTTTTCAAGAAATGCAAAGTAATGATGAACATCAAATTAAACATTAAGCTGATTTAGTGATCCAAGCTTTCTTCTCCAGTAGCAATAGAATGATCGCATGTTTCATTTGCCAGACACTGAGTACCTAATGCACATCACCATCTGCATATGCAAAGTAAAGCTGCCTGGGTTCGTTCATTCTAGAATTTTTCACTTGATAGTTAGCACTCATTGATCTTGCTGCTGTAAGTTATATTTCAATATTCATACCAATACATCAATACGCGTTCATCAGCCAACATTTACTGGCTTCATACTGCGCGTGCTCTTCAGTATTGATCTCCTGCAATACCTATTATAGCTTGTTTTCGGCCAATAAGCTCTTTTAATTTTACTTTTTTTCTTGCTGATAAGTGAGCCAGATCAACTTGCGTTTATCAACCAACATTTCCTAGCTTCAACCTGATATTACTCAGGACTCAGGACTCTTCAGTCTCCTGTACCTATACTTCAACTTGGGATTGTTTTCAGTCAACATGCTTCTTTAATATGACATAATTCAGTCACAAGGGATTCAAAACTTCCAACAAAACGACATACTAGAGTTCGAAAACCACCAGATAAACTTGAAAAATGCCTTGGAACGGAGCAGAACGGAGCCAAGTGGTGCTGCTCCATTTGTTTGTTTACAATAATTGTAGTGCTGATGTATTGTTTTAGGACTCTAGCGGTCGGCTTATAAAAAATGAAACATTTTTACAAAATCTGTATGGCAATTAATATTTTTCTGAAAGAACTAAAATATTCAAGACCCAAACACTATGAAATACAGGAATCGGAACGAAAAAGTAACCCAAAAATCCAGCCTAATAACCGACTCCTAAAACTGCGGCAAAATCAGCACTTTTCCCCGCAACTCGTTGTCCAGACGTAAATATGCGTTTCTTCACTCGCGTATATATCTTTCCCGAGCGAAAAAAGCAAACATTCCAGTTTTTTGGCGCTTTTGTTTCAATTGTGGTGGTTCTGTTCGAAGTCCCATACAGATGGTGTTTGCGCAAAATTTCTAACGGAAAATCGCCTACTATTTAGTGTCGACAGCTGCATATTAAGTTTTTGAACACGCCTCCATCACTGCTTGTTTATTGGCTGTCTGTGGTATTGGGCTGTGTTGCTGGCTGTATATACCGTGTGTTGCTGGGTGATTGTGATAATATTTTCATGATAAACCTTTTTATTCAGCGGTAGAGAATTCTGAAAATCCCAGGAGGTGCTGCAAACCCCTAATTATCCACCCGCCCCTGTTTTTTATTTTAAGTTCCATCCAGTACCAGTAGGTATGAGTGTTTATGGCAATGGAAGGTAGGTGAAACATTTCATTATTGTAATTTTAATCTTTTGAGACCTGAATTTCAACATTCTCTTGAGAGCCTGAGAGCATTCATGCCAAGGTTTCTGAGTCTGTTTCATGATAAAGAGACAATATTTATAATGGAGTCAACTTGTGGGTCAAGTCAGCAGAACTTGATAAATGAGTATGACATCACCTCTACACCTGTCGCCTCCTGTATTGTAGTGATGGCAGGTTCAATGCTGAGTCTCAGAATAATAGCCAGCGAGCGTATACTGTTGTTTTGTATTTCTATGCCCGATCGTCCCTTATGTGTAATGTCTTGCATTTCTAAATATTGAACTGTAATGAATGAGACGCTGTAATGAGGTACTGTAATGAAAAGACTGCCTCAGACTGGTCACTGCCAGGTTCTATTTAACCAAATATGACTGCATGTCTGCTACAGAATGAAACACTGACAAACACTGACACTGACATCAGGCACTGACAAAGTGAATGCACAAGAACGATAAGGACTTCTGGACTTCAGAGCAAGAGATACACCCTACGCTCAGGAACGCCGCTGTCACCACATATAGCATACAGCACCCGGTCGTGCCCATCATTAGCCTACAAGCCCCACCAGACGCTAACCGGCCATGATTTTACCGCCCTCTACGAAAAGCAATAATCTCACTTTGCAGGCGACCTCTACAACGATAGAGGAATCGACAACTGGCAATCCGGCCTGATCGCGTCTCTCCGGTCTTACCACTTTGGCTATGCAGTGGTGGTAAACGGTAATGGGCTTCCGCGATTACCATAAGCTCCAGGGAGGTGCCATCCCCACACCTCCCCTGCCGTCCCCTGCATCGCCATCGTTCATCACAAATGGCTATAATTAGGATCTGAATGCCAAAATTCATCGGTAGGAAGTTGCTTTCAAGCACTGTCCAGCTCTCAAATGGGCGATAGCCACAACGCCCCCTGCAGTCGCACCAGTCTTAAAATTGATAGATCCACTCTACTGACAGGCACGGTGTATATTCAACCCAAAATGCACATAAATATCACAACAAAACAACCCCTATTCCCTGCGTGACCATGTGAGTAGCACTCCCCGCTAGCTGCGCTTCAGTTTATCCCCGACCCGCTCCCTGACCGCCTGGAGGAGGCGGGGCTCGCTGTACACCGCCGCGGCCACCACGGCGGCCCCACAGAGCGCGCCCACAGCCACATGGGCGGCGGCGGAGCTGGGGTACAGCCAGCTCTCGGAGCCGGCTGCCAGCAGGCCGGCGGTCACCAGCGCGGCAGCCACGGCGGGCGGAGACCGAGCAGCGGCGGCACGGACACCGCCGGCTCCAGCGGCAGACCGGCCACGAACCGGTAACTGGCGACACACGGGGCGGGGACAGGGTGAGAGAGGTACGGGACACTGTATCGGGCATCAGCGACACACCGGGTGGGGACAGGGTGAAAGGGGTACGGGACACTGCATCAAGCGCCAGCAACACACTGGACGGGGCGAGCGGGCAGCAGCAGCAGAAAATGGGACGAAGACATGATGGTTGAGAGTGGCACGGGACACTGTATCGGGAACCAGCAGCATACGGGGAGGGGACGGGATGAGAATTGAGAGGGCTACAGGACACTATTGGGGACAGCAGACATTCGTATCAGTCGATGGACGGGTGAAGTAACGAGATCCAAGTATATCGAGATCGGCGAATAAAGCGTGATATTGACTATCCATGACAGATTGGATAATGATGTAAATAATTAGACCAATTAGGACAAATCAAATCTATTCAAAAACACAAAAACTCACCAAACGTATATCCTGGTCAGCATATTGACGCAGTTGGCGAGGATAAATCCAACCCCGCCGAATAGCCTAGTAAAGATCCCTGTCGAGATGACGAATATCACAGATAGCAGCACCATCTTCCGGTTATACCTGAAACACCGGAAAACGTCACAACACCTGTCAAAGCGCCCGATAGTAACGTTCCTAGCTTCACTTTATCGACACGACTGGCCGGCCTTTCCACTTCGCCTTTAGCCGCAAAAGGCAGTCTAACAACAAAAACCAACATGAGAACGTCATTTCCTAATCCGCTCAGCCTCTACCGACACTCCTTACTAAGCCACCGACCATTTCCCGACTGCTTTCCATAAACCCTCCACGGCACTTACCCATTGATCTGTTCCTGGCGCATCACCGCGAACGTGTAGCACTCCAGCACTCCGTTCACCGCCAGTAGGAGCACGTAGGCGCACTGGGCGCGCAGCAGACTGACGGCCGGACCGGCGGTCAGCAGGGCGCCTCCGTACAGCCGCAGCAGCAGGTGGGAGTAGCTCCAGCCGAACGTGACGGCAATCAGACCGAGCAGGCTTATGGCGCGCAGCAGGTCGTGCAGAACCCGGCCCGCCGCGGCAGACACCGGCTGCAGGGAGAGGAGGTAGGGTCAGACTCATAGCGCGGAGTAGGTCGTGTAGCACCCGGCCCGCCACCGCAGACACCGGCTGGAGGGGGAGTGAGCTGTCAGGCACCGGCTGGAGGAGAGGTGCCAAACTGTCCCCTTCCAGTGACTGGCGAGAAGGGGAGAGATGGCCAGAAGGATAGAAGCTGGGCAACAAAACAAACCGAATGACAAAAAAGACACCAAGATGAAGATCACAACGACTGGCAGTAAGGACTTATAGCGGAGATGAAGAGTAGCTACGAGTATTATTGGCTAATAGCAGAGTGTGTGCTTACAGCTTTTTCGGCGCCTCACCGGGCATCGACACACTGTGGTCAACGTTACTGATATTTTCACCAAATGCCACTACTCCTCAGTAAAAAAAAAAAAACTAACATCAAACACCTCCTACCACACAATCAGCCACGTTGCCACCTACCTTTCCCCGTTCCACTGTGCGCGAGAAGTAGACGTAGGCGTTCTCCTCGACTGGCTGAAAGAGGAATCGGGCCGCCAGGCTGACCAGGTTGGCCACCACGTCGTACAGGCCCTGCTCGGAGAAGTCGAGCAGGTGGAAGGCGGTCATCAGGTAGCGCTCGCCCTCCGTCAGCAACTGCTTCAGCAGGCCTTGTTTGAAGAAGCTCCAGGTGAGGGCCAGCTGGTCACGGTCCAGCGCCGGCTGACGGGGAGGGGAAGAGAGGTATTACTGTTCAGTGAAGAGAGATGGCAGCAAGGGTCACATCGCCACCGTCGCGACAGGAAATGTTAGAGGCAGACGCGGTTGCTGGGAAAACGTGGCAGCACAACTTTGGCTCTATTTCTGAGGATACTCGATCCAGCGCTGCCGTGAGCTGTCTGTAACACAGGTAGGTCTTAATACCGTTTGACTGCAATCTAAGAGGCCTTAGACCTAAAGTTCTAGCTAAATGAAACGAAGAATGCCGCATGCGACGACTTGGCCAAAAGAAACCACTATGACCGCGAAAACGCTTGACTACATTTGAAACCCCGCCCCTTTACAAATAGTTCACTGGCCTCACCTGTCCCGGCACCAGTCTGGGTCCCAGCTCACTCGCCGACTTCACCGGTAGACAGTTATCCGGTGAGCGGACGTGCCAGAGCAGGGTGCCGTAATACATGACCACGAGGCGAGCGGAGCTGACCGCGTGGCCCACACAGTAGGCCCAGATGGCGTGGGACGGGTACAGGGCGATCAGCCAGGCTTTGAGCGCCACCCGACTGCACAGACTGACCATGTCGGCTACCACCTTGGGAGAGAGGGAGAGCGGGTGGGTGAGAGAGTGGTGAGAGGAGATGGGGAGGGGCGAGAAGACGATTAGAGAGTCAGAGATAATCCACATATGCCAGCAAGGTAGGGAGAATACAGTACTTCAACGCGGTGTGAACGATCGACGATCCGCAAACGACTGTCACAGCAGGCGATTTGAGCTTCGGATATAATTTCACTGATATAGCAGAGTCATCGGGGAACCGACGCGCCTCAAATATTTTCCCCTGACACCCTGTTCCTCTCCTCTGCGTCACCCCACCGCCGTCATTCACCTTCAATTTGACAAAGAGCATGGCCTGCGCCAGGATGACCAGCGGCTGGGCGGCCGTCTCCAGTACGACCATGGCCGCGGTGACCCACACGCCCAGACGGTACTCTGAGGTGACCTCAGGCGCCGGCCGGCTGAGCGCGTGCAGCCAGAGGCCGGCCAGCGCCGCTGACACGGGCACGCTAACAGGGGAGCGGGGCGTCAGTCAGAGGCAATTACAACACTGCTCTTTTGTAATACACTCAATTCACTGGCAATAAAACATTACATACTTATGGAAAAAAGTAAAGGGTGCATACCTGACACTGATGATGCCCAGGACATCAGATGTAATATACCGGAGAATGACTGCATTTGTGATGAATGTGAACAGTACACTCGGTAGGTTATCTGAAAGACATTTGATAGGTATAGCTTCAGCATCAATATGTGCAACACAGACCATGCTATTCTGGGCCCTGTTTCACCGGTGATAGCAGCACGCTGCTATCACACGTGTCAAATTGGGTTTCCATGGAAACATCAGCAAACCATGACGCCGTCAATCTGTGTGATGTCATCAAATATTGCTGCCAACAGCTTCACGGCCGTACGATCAAACACATCGCATTCAACGAAACAGCAACTCTGTTCCAAACACAGCTCACGGATTACATGAAACATCATTAGTGTGACCTCATCACATTACGTCAGCTCGCGCAATTTGATAGAAGCGTGCTGCTATCAACGGTGAAACAGGGCCCTGGTCTCTGCAGCATATAGGTACTTCATTGGTGGAAAATCCCAGGGGGTGCTACAAACCCCTAAATATCCACCCCTGTTTTTTATTTTAAGTTCCATCCAGTACCAGTATGAGTGTTTATGGCTTGGAAGGTAGGTGAAACATTTCATTATTGCAATTTTAATCTTTTGAGACCTGAATTTCAACATTCTCTTGAGAGCCTGAGAGCATTCATGCCAAGGTTTCTGAGTCTGTTTCATGATAAAGAGACAGTATTTATAATGGAGTCAACTTGTGGGTCTCTACCGCTGAATAAAAGGGTTAATCATCAAAATATTTTCACAATCACCCAGCAACACACGGTATATACAGCAACACAGCCCTATACCACAGATCACCAGACAGCCAATAAACAAGCAGTGATGGAGGCGTGTTCAAAAAGTTAATATGTAGCTGTCGACACTAAATAGTCGGTGATTTTCCGTTAGAAATTTTGCGCAAACACCATCTGTATGGGCCTTCGAACAGAAACACCACATTTGAAACAAAAGCGCCAAAAAACTGGAATGTTTGTTTTTTTTCGCTCGGGAAAGATATATACGCTCTTCACTCAGCTGAGACGGAATACCTCACTTTTTATGCAAATATTTTCTTCTTTTTTTTCGTTGAAAAGGCCAAGGTCTGAAAAATAAGTGGCCTAAAACCGATGAGAAAGCTAGATTTGGGGGTACCCTAGGTTGATATCTATGATGGTTCAGCCCCCCCCCCCAGTCTGGAAGAAGTTCCCGCGCCACTGAAGTGAAAGGAAGACCATAAGGGCTACTGAATATTGGTACCAGACCGAATTCGGCAGAGGGGAAGAAGGAGTGCGCATCCGTTTTAGTGTAACAAGTAGTGGCACGGGCTGTGACTGACAACTCAAGCGACAAAATAGTGTAACTAAGCAGCAAACATTATCTTGACAAAAGGAGCTTCCTGAAGAGAAAGCCACGCCACGACCTTTTCTAGAATGACAAAAATCAAATCAAAGTGAAAGAAGTAGAACGTGGAACGGGCATGGTGTTCACATGTCCTATTGCGGAATATCCACTAACATCCAACTTGCATCGCAATTGTTTTTCTTTACGTATCGGACTAGATAAAGTGTTGAAACCTGTAAAGCAAGGCCTCAAGACGAGGAGAGATTGATACAGAGATTGCATACATTGACACAAATAAGGAATAGCGACTATAAGGCTCTGTCTAACCGATCAATCAAAGAAAAAAATATTGGGAATAATGTGTACGTGTTGATTTGATCTTCTAAAATAACGCGTTTTCCCGACGCTGGAGCCATAGCGTACTATAAAACGCTTACTTTCCGACCGCATCTTTATTTGATGTTTATTATAAAGCACCATGGGTATCAAATCAAAGGCAAAAGCAAGAGTGAAGGAGCTCAAAAAAGTAAAATCCAAGTTGAAAGAGGGCGCAGCAGCAATTGCTGGGATTGAAACAAAAGACGACGAAGAATCAATAGCAGAAAGAAAAGAAGATAAGGCAGAAGGCGAACTAGGGAAGTTGGTGAAAAAGGGAAACGGCGTTCCTAAGGTAAACAGTCGGGAGCTAATAATTAGACAGAGCTAGCTTTTATTTTAGTTATATACATAACTGCTTTAGTTAATTTGGTCAAGCATGGTCAAGCATGATGCAAATACGGTTCATCGAACCGTCATGTCTATTGCTGATGCACGTTCAAATGCCAGCTTGAAGTGGGATATAACAGAGCATTATAACCAATATTAAATCAACGGCATACTCCCAGCGAACCCCAGTCGGTAGCCGTCTGCTGACTCAGAGTCAGATCATATTCATCTACCTCCAACTATCCCAGAACTCATGTCGTCCGTCGCCGACTGTCCCGCTGCCGACAGCTGATGATGAGCGAGCCAGGCCGTCAGGCGTTCTGGTTCCTGATCATGCTGATCTCGCTGGTGTCGTGCCAGGCCGGCCTGGCCTTCAGCTTCCTGGGTGCCACACTGCGTCCGGCGCTGGACAACCACCACGTCCTGCTCGACCACTTCGGACAGAACCAGGCCATCCTCAATGTCGGCAAAGCCGGTGAATACTCGCGTCGCCGTATGTAGCGCACTTCGGGCGCTAGTGGGCTACGGTGGTTGCACTCTGATTAAAAACTGTGCAAAATTTCTCACGGCTCCCAGGTTTGCAGCGGAGGTCTGGGAAGCTGGCTACTATTTGATGCCATTTAGCTGGCTCAACTCAACTGCCACCACAGTGTTATAAGGCTATAGGTCATGTGAACCATAGTCTACAAACGTTGAGATATTAAATGAAATTGTTTTGAGTGCTGATCCTACTGGACGACAAGATACACATACAATACACTTATTTTTTAGAGCATTAAACACTAAGCAACCAAACAAACCCAACGTTGAGATATTAACCCGCGCCCCACTGGGGTCTGCGTATAACACGCCCTACTGGGGGGGGGGGGCTATTCATAGCCCCCCCTCCTAACTCCAAAACTACTGGGCCGATCGTCAAAATTCAAACAGCGTCTGATAGCCCCGGAAAAACTGTCGAGCGAAACCTAATTTTATTGACCTTGAGGTCACCGATGACGTCACAAGTCAGGTCAAAGTAAAAATTATTAGCATTTTGGCTTCTTCACGTTTTGGGCTCTGGCCGCCGTCTTACAAGTCAGAACAGGCTCATTTTTGGTTCACACACTCGTGAACAGATGCTCTAGATACTCTGAGGGTACCAAACTTGTACTTTGATTTTCAGGTCAAGGTCAGGTCATCACAGGTCACGAAAATATTATATCATCCGTCGGTCACGTGACACATGTTTTATGGTCCATTTAGGCCAAACATTTCGAATTTGATGTCGTCTGTGTCATTCGAGGTCATTTTGAGTCAAATTTAGCTTAGGTCAGGTCACTTTCAGGTCAAAAAAGGTCAAATTTTGAAGTTAAAATTTTTCAACAAAAAAGGTGTCTATTGGATGCAGTTTGAGCTCAGGAACACGATAGTGCTATTTATAGTGACGTACGATGTCAAATTCGTGCTGAAAAATTGATTTGAAAAATTAATAATAGTTAATTTTTTGCAATAATGCGTATAACTTGACCATTTTTGAAGATATTTAGCTAAAACTTGCTAGAGTTAGTCATAATAATGCGTTCTATCACATATATTCCGGTTTTTTTCGAAAAGTCAAAATTTTTTTGAAAAAAATGTAAAAATATAAGTTTTGAATTTTATTATATGAAATTTTTGAAATTTCCAAAATTTTGAAAATCCGAGATAGCAGTTTGATAGCGCAGTCTATTCTGAGTCCTCTCATGCAAAGAAAATGGATCTAGCTTAAAAACTGAGCTCTTGGGAGCGATTGCCGTGGTTCAATGTTTTGCGTCGAAATCGGCCGAACATGACGTCACTCTGACGTCATTTCCGGCCGACCTATGGTAGGTACGAAGTTCAAATTTTGACACAAGGTGTCAAATTGATGCAGCCGAAGGTACTGAAAGTTTGGCGTCGATACGTCAAGCGGTTCGGAAGTTATTGCAGAAAAACGGGAGGGGGGGCTATAAATAGCCCCCCCCAGTGGGGCGCGGGTTAAATGAAATTATTTTGAGTGCTGATCCTACTGGACGACAAAACACACATACAATACACTTATTTTTTAGAGCATTAAACACTAAGCAACCAAACAAACCCATGCGCATTTCATTCGACAAATACAGGTTATAGGGTCATAAGCACCCTCACATTTTTCTTGAAATTGCTTTGTCACATCAAAGTTGAGCATCAAAGGCATGTAGAAGGTGTATTTGCGACCTGTGCAGGCAGCCTGATCGTGGTCGTGGGTCTGATGATGGTGAAGGGATCAGCGTTCCAACTGGTCGCCGCGCTCCTGGCTCGACAGAAGCGCAAATCACGCCGCCGGTGCGCCGTCAAATTTGCTTTTGGATGTGTCCTCTTTGAGGTTAGTCGCGAGTCGCATAACCGCAACCAAGGCAGTACCTATATACCTACCGCAACTGTATATACAGCGACTTATCGCAAGTGAAGCAATTGAACGAAATATGTACGCACATTTCAGCAATTTTTTGCAGTAAAAACTACCGTATTTTAATGCGATAAACGAGATAACGCAACTAATAATGCTCAGCTATGGGCCTACGAAGTGCCTACGCATTGTTTCGTGAGTTTTGACAGACGTCTACATGTCACCCGCAGCTGTTGGTAATCGTTTTTGTCTGCATAGTCGCCGCTCTGTTTTTCTTCTGGCTGCGTCAATTTCACGAGACGTACCGTGACACGCTGCCGCGGGCCCTCGTCAAGGGATACCTACAGAACACCACCATCACCGCCTATGTCAACTGGCTGCAGTACCGCTTCCAGTGCTGCGGAGTCACCGACTTCAAGGCAAGGAAAAAGACCGTTAGATGATAGTTGTTGAGTGCTCTCGCGTGGAACATCTTTTATGACAAAGGTATAATATTTGTTATGACCTTTTCCTCGAATTAAGAAATGTAAAAAGTCGAAAGTGATGTATTCTAATGGGTGAATTTTCGCCCACAGGGCATCGTCAGACAAGCAAAAATGACGACGCCATTTTTGCAAATGACGACGTCTATTTTGCTTGTCTGACGATGCCCTGTGGGCGAAAATTCACCCATTAGAATACACCACTTTCGACTTTTTACATTTCTTAATTCGAGGAAAAGGTCATAACAAATATTATACTCTATCATAATGAGACAGCTAATTAAATCATAGAAATAGATTACTGGTGCCTAATGAAAACAGATAAAATAGAGCATTCTTAAGATTTTTTTAAAGACTGTAAAGCTCCTTACATTACTCACCTCCGATTTATGTAAGCGTTTGCTCAATGTCATGTTCTGGAACATGATGATTGATGAAGACTTCAAATTGTCAGTTGTGAGCAAATTAATTGCGCTTTTTATGTAAACCACACGCTCAGCCCACGACGTTTTTTTTTTTTTTAAACGGCTGTTCAGGTTACGAACATAGCCTTCTGAATATTGTATGCAGTTGTAATTCGGGCGTTCCAAGCTATGTACCATGCGGTACAGTCTAACTTCAGGCGTTACCAGCCTCAGTACTGCGGCACAGTCTATCAGGGCGTATTTTAACATGTTAACTGGGTCGGCAATTGCCGACCCAGTCACGGAGAATGCCGACCCAGTGACAGACGTTTGCCGACCCAGTTGCCGCCCCCTCTAGGATGCAGCACGCACATGCAGGCTAGGTGCCGTCATTCATAGTGAGGCTGCTGCCCTCCGAAATGATAATGCCGCCTCTTAAAGTGAAGCAGCCGTCTATAGAAAGTGATGATCCCGCAACTCAATGTGACAGTGCCGCCCCTAAATCTGTTAGTAGCCCCACTCAATGTACCTAATGGTGCCGCCCTTCTAAGCATCTGTGGAGCCCCGCAATGTGATGATACCGCCCCTCAAGAAGATAATGCCGCCCCTTTCAGTATCAGTGGCGCCCCTCAATGTGATGGTGCCGCCCTCAAAATTCCGGTGGCGCCCCTGAATGTGATGGTGCTGCCCGCCAACGAGTCGGTGGCGCCCCTCAAAATGATGCTGCCGCCCCTTAAAGTGTTGGCGCCGCCCCTTATAGTGTCAGTGACGCCTTTCGAAGTGTCGGAGGAACCCACCAATATAATGGTGCCGCCCCTCTAGGTATCCACATAGCCCCTCATTGTGATGGAGCCGCCCCTCAAGCAGACGATGCCGCCCCTCAAGAAGATGATGCCGCCCCTGAATGTGATGGTGCTGCCCGCCAACGAGTCGGTGGCGCGCCTCAAAATGATGCTGCCGCCCCTTAAAATGTTAGTGCCGCCCCTCATAGTGTCAGTGACGCTCTTCGGAGTGTCAGAGGAACCCACCAATATAATGGTGCCGCCCCTCTAGGTATCCACATCGCCCCTCATTGTGATGGAGCTGCCCCTCAAGCAGATGATGCCGCCCCTCAAGAAGATGATGCCGCCCCTTTCAGCACCGGTGGCGCCCCTCAATGTGATGGTGCCTCCCTCAAAGTGCCAGTGACGCCCCTAAATGTGATGGTGTCTCCTGTCAACGAGTCGGTGGCGGCCTTCAAAATGATGCTGCCGCCCCTAAAAGTGCTGGTGCCGCCCCTTACAGTGTCAGTGGCGCCCTTCAAAGTTTTGGAGGAACTCATCAATACAATGTTGCCGCCCTCTAACTTTCTGTAGCGTCCTTCCATATACATAATGGTGCCGCTTCTCAAACCATCCGTGGCGCCCCTCAAAGTGATGGTGCCGCCCCTTACAGTGTCGGTGGTGTCTCCTCAAAAGTCAAGGTGCCGCCTCTCAAAGAAATGCTGGTGTCCCTCGAAGTGTCGGAGGCGCTCCTCAATGTCATGTTGCCGCCCCTCAAACCTTCCGTAACACCCCTCAACGTCATGGTGCCGCCCCCCCCCCCCCAATGTGCTCACGGCGCCCTTAAATGTCATAGAAGCGCCGGTCAAAGTGATGACTGTGCTCCTGGCAGTGTCGGTGGCGCCTCTTATAGTGTTGGTGGCGCCCGAACATTATCGGTGGTGCCCCTCAAAGTGATGATGTCACCCTCAAACAAACGGTGGCGCCCTCCGAAGCATCGGAGTCCCTAAATATCATACCTATTGCCGCCCATTAACGATCTGTAGCGCCCCTCCATATGATGGAGCCTCCCCTTTAAGTATCCGCGGCGGTCCTTAAAGTTGCAGTGCCGCCCCTTACAATGGGGTGGCCATAGGCGGTCCCAGGGGGGCCACGGGGGCCATACCATGGCCCCCCTTTGGTGCTGAAAGGTGGAGCCATACTATCTTTTGGCCCGCACCTTTTCAGATCGAACAAAAGTCCTACAAAAACTTTTTGTATGTTTCATTTTCTTGTTTAGTGAAAGGTCTTTCTTGCACCAGCAAAGGAAGTAAATTTCACTCATGAGTGGGCTCAGTTTCACATTCTGTCAATTTGGCGGTCAGTGTCGCTGGCACCGGTTCACAAGTATGGCCGGATGTGAGATATAGGTATTCTAACTTATGTGGAATATCGGGTTGGGTTAACTTGAGGCTCTCATAGGCACAGCATTGGCTGGCAGAGATCCTCCTGCCAAATGAGCGTGGTTCTACGACACTAAAGTATGACCTCATGGGTTGGTGCTGTGCAACTCAGAAGCCCGGTGTATGCCGGCTTGGTTCCTTAAGGATTAGCGTGGGATCTCCGGGGCCTGCGTATTAGAGATTGCATGAACTAGTATGTGATCTCAGAGGCCTGTGTACACAGTACACAGTGGCGGTCGGAGGGGGGGGGGGGGAGGCATCAGGGCCATCCCCTAAGGCCAAATAAGGGGGCATCATATCATTTTGCCCCCCTCCCAAACAGCCGTTGGGCCCCCATGAGCGTATGGGGCCCTGGCCGTTATCCGATTGTGACGAGGCTCAAGAAACCCACGCCCAGCTGTTACCTAATAGCTCCCACACCGGTCTTTGAGCGTCCTACACTGAACTCTGAGGGCCCTTCAGTGGCGGTCAAGCGCCCACACTGACCGCTAAGAGCCCAGATCGACCTCTGATGGCCCTCCACTGGCCTTTGAGGGCCCCTAAACCGGCGTCTGAGGGCCTCACACCGGTCTCTGGTGGCCTTATTTCTGTCTCTGGGGTCCCAAAGCTAACCTTAAGCGCCTATGAGGGCCCGCACTGGTTGTTGAAGACCCGATGCCGGCCTCTAAGGGCCCGTACCGGCCTCTGATGGCCCATCTTGGCCTTTGAGGGCCCTTTGCTGGCCTCTGGGTCCAACGCCGGCCCATGCCGGTCTTTTAGGACCTTACGCTGACCTCTGAGGGCCCCATGTCGGCCTTTGTGTCATGGCCTTTGCAGGCCCTGTACTAGTCTCTGAGGGCCCTAAACTGGTCTCTAATTGAAAACATCAGGGATGGACTTCTGAAGTTCTGAGAACGCACGCAAACTCCTGCAGAGCCTAACGTGTCCCGATGGTTCCGAGCAGATTCCCTCATATTTCGGCGCCGGGGCCCCATGAGCCGGCGTGGGTCCTTGGCTGACAGAGACCGATGAAGTCTCCAGGGCCCAGGGACAGTCTTTTTGGCAGTTGAGGATTAGGCAGGTTGAGTGAGCCCCAAAAGAGTCGTTGCAAAGCCCCGCAGGAGTCTGCGCGCGGCCCCCAATGCCAAATTTGAAAGCCAGGAACCTGTGGGGGGTCTCTAGGGGTCGGTGTACCTACTCTCTCCCGCAGCCACACAACTATGTCATGGGTAAATGCCATAGTCTAAAAATGCTCTCTTGGTTTTATATGCTGCTCCGATCTGTCACCACGGTGCGGCGGCCCGACCGGTGAGCACACCTTGGGACGGTAAATGGAAGTGGTTATTTCGCTTAAACTGAGTTCAAAAATTGTACGCAAGAATGAGATGGATGTAGCCTAAGAAATGCCAACTGCGCGGCACTTTGTGGCGTCGACTTTGCTACACACGTAAAAACTTAGCCGATCACCCCCCCCCCCCCGGTCGACGGATAAATGTTATGTTCCGCGGGTTTGACTTTGCCCCCCCCCCTTTAGCTAACGGCTGCGACCGCCAGTGGGGGTGGCGTCCTCAAAATAAAAGTGATGTTGCCCCCCCCCCCCCGAGTAATGTTGGCGTCTCTTCTAAGTATCGGAGGCGCTCCTCATTGTCATTTTGCCCCACATCACTGCGCACATGGCGCCCTTCAATGACATGGTGCCACCCCCAACGCTCAAAGAGATAACTGCGCTTCTCACAGTGTCGGTGGTGCCCCTCAAAGTGGTTTAAGTGCCCTAAAGAAGTTGGTGGCGCGCCTCAAAATGATGCTGTCGTCCCTTAGCATATCTGCAGCGCCTCCAAAATGATAGTGCCTTCCCTTAACCGGCGCCGGGCTGAGGTTTGAACCCCCCTCCCGACCCCTATAACTTGGCTACTGGGCCATGTAGCGACACGTGGTAAGCGGCATTCGAAAGAGTGTCAAAAACTACTTGGGTTAGTTGGTTAACCGTACTTTGGTTAGGTCAAGTCAAATGTCAAATATCAGGTGACCAGAGGTCATCAAAGGTGATATGTGGGTGAAATGTTGTCTGTTTCAACATTTATTGACAAACTGGCGCATAACTCGGGGAAGAATAGAACTACAGCACCGCGAAAAAAGCGCATTCGATTGCTCTTCAACGTTCCTATAAAGTCCTCAGACTTGACCTAACATCAACGGCTTAACCTCCAGAGCACAACTAGTTTAACCCGTGCCGGGCCGGGGAGGGTTGGAGTGGACAGTGGACCCCCTCCGCCCCTCTACTGAGCTGTTTTAATGAAGAACCTTTTTACTGTAATAATTATTGACTCACGAAAGTTATGACATTGTTTTTTCAGTACTGTGCTCCTCTCGTCGAGATGCATCGAATGAACTATAATTTGACATTCAAATGTCATTTGGGAAATTTGAGCTCAGGTCCAGGTCATGACCTGACTGGTAAAGGTCACGTTGCATATCAGTCGATTTGTATCGTCAAACTGAAATCATCTAAGGTGTTTTCATCGCTCAGGCATGTCGCATGTCTCTATCAGAAGTTATTGAAAAAACTGCTGGAGGCCTTCCATGACCTGACATGACCTCAAGGACATAACGAGGGGTCGTGGGTGGCAATTTTCCTATTAAGTGTTTCATTTTTAATTGTTGTATGATGTTTAAATTCGTTAACTTTGACATTTGTCTACCTATAAAAAGAGGCATACATGCCCTGATTTTCTCCCATTTCCTTATACCTAATGGAAGGGTCGCAAAATTTTCCTTACCTGTGGTCAAAGACATAGCAATTTCGAGACTTACATTTTATATATACAGTTACACACTGTTTGTCTTATCAATCGCTGAAGTTATAAAGGGATCGTTCAGTCGGTGTATCTATGGTGAGCATTTGCCTGTTCCGTAGCTCAGTTGGTAGAGCACCGGACTCCCCGCATTGTCTTCGCTTGCGTTTTGTCCGCCGGCCGATCCGGAGAGAAAGTTACCGAGTGAAGGTCATTCAAATTTCAAAAACTCAATGAAAATGTCACTGGGGTCACGAAAATATTTGAGTAGGTATGTATACCATTCATTAACTTGGGGGGGGATGAACGTATCGTTACAAATCAATACGCTGTTCATTACGCGAGTAACTAATGAATAAAAAATGTATAACTTCATCCTTACTCCACCCGCTCTCCCTCTCCATAAAAAGAGAGTTAATTGTAATGCATTTTATTTAGATGCAGAAAAATAGAGGCGTCAAAGGATATGGCCGAATATCAGCGACCCTTGCTGTGTAAGCAATGGGGCTTGCAATGGGGTATGACAAGTGGGGGTAATGGCCCCGTCCAGCGCCCATAAAGTGGGCACCACTCGTGCGACCTGCCGACCACTGTTTTAGAGCCATAAAACACCGTGAATGTTTTAAGCTTGACGATACGGATCGACTGGTATGCAACATGTTTTATTTATGGTGAGGTCATGAACTTGACCTCAGGTAAAATTTTTAAATTAATTTTTCGTAAAGTCAAATTATAGTTCATTTGTCGCATTATGACACGAGAAATACTAGTTATATCCCGGAAAAATAGACGTAATACCGCTGAGCTTAGGTAGGTTGAATCTGAAATCATTACTTAGAAAGAGTTATACAAGAACCGTCGAACGTGTCTTTTTGTCATTAAATATCAGTAGGTATGGCGCCCCCCTCAGATGCCAAGTGCCGCCCCTATGAGTGCAAAATGCCGCCCCTAAATGTGATTGCCGACCCAGTGAAAATCCCTTAAAATACGCCCTGCAGTCTATCGTCAGGCGTCTCCCACAGTAGTCATGCGGTACAGTCTAACTTCAGGCGTTTTTAACATAAGTATTGCGGCACAGTCTAACTTCAAGCGCTCCCAACCTCAGTCATGCGGCACAGTCTAACTTAAGGCGTTCCCAATATCAGTTATGCGGTGCAGTCTAAGGGTTCAGGCGTTCCAAGCATTAGTAGTGCGGCACAGTCTAACTTCTGACGTTTTAAACATCAGTATTGCGGTACAGTCTAACTTCAGGCGTTTCCACAACGATTCAGGGTTTGCGGGCAATATTGCACTGAGAGCTCAGTTAACAAGGTAACATCAGTAATGCGGCACAGTCTTACTTCAGACGTTTCCACAACAATTCAAGGTTTGCGTGCAATAGGTTTCACTGAGGGCTTGTCATGGCAATCTAGGCTCTTATATCATAATAAGTATGAAAAGTGCATGACAGCAGAGCTGATGTTTACAAAACATAATTTAATTTTTGTAGGCGGCTCGTCTATCCCGGCTGGACGGACTTAAGGCCGGACTACCGACCCGGACCCGGCCCTGCCACATGGCGGGACCCGCTTTTATTTACACGTTGGGCTCACGTGCGTTTTGCACTGGTCAGCCGGGTACAGTCACGCGAGTAGCCTGCCATCGCCGTCCACGTGGTTCACAGCGCCGAATCACGTGCTCACCGCCTGATTTAAGTGCTTTAAGTTTAATTAGCAGTCAGTTACGGTCAGAGGACAACCAAATACGCATCATTTTTACATCATCGTCAATACATCGCCAAAAACTCAATGCTGTATAGCATATATGAAGATAGCTGTATGCACGTATAAATCACACCCTAAATTTGAGAGCATAAATTCTGAAGTAATTATACACTCATCCTGGCATCCTTCTTTATATGTGTTGTGCAAAATATACCTATGCAGAGACTCATTTACCTACGGCAGTCCGTACCTTACCTCTCGTATGGATCTGATATTGAGTTGTTGCACCTCCGCAGGACTGGTTTATCGCCGACTGGCAACCCCGGAAGTGGCTGGCCAACCGCTATCCCACCGTGCTCTACTATCGTGACACTTACTACGCCACCGGCAAAAAGGTATACCTACGCACAGCAAAAAAGGTATAGGCCCGGACTACTGCACGACAGCGCTGCGGAGAATGTGGCATATTCTGGTGATGGATCGAACACAAGGTAGTCGCTAAAAGTATTTTGATTATCTTTGAACCAGTGTGCTTAGCCACAAGTGGTAAAACCTCACCTTGAATATATAATTCGCAAACGTAATAGCAAACACTTCGTAACGGGAGGCTGAAGTGTTTCGCTCAACATGACAACTTAACCCTCGCCGGACCTATTGGTTTTCTACATACGCGCCGGCCGAGGGGGGGGGGGGGCGGGTACGACCCCCCTCGCCGTTTCGCCCCTGGTGGAGCTAGCGCGTCGCGGAAAAAACGAGCGTGTGCGCCGTTACGAGACGCAGAGATTGGTACCCGATTTTAAGGTCCTAGGTCAACCGGTGACCTCTGAGGTCAGGTCAAGTGCCCCAAGGTACGGTTCAGTTTTTGGTGAATAACTTCGCAAAAAACGGCCGCAGAGCGCCGATTTTGGCAGCATCGTGTTTGTCTCGCTCAGGTGCGTCGAATGATATACTTTTTGTCCGGGTCAGGTCAACTTGGGGTGTTGACCTCAGGTCAAGGTCAGGTCAGCACCCCCAGGTCACGAAGCTGGTCGAAAGAGGTCATGTCGCATATCATTCGATTCGGCAGGTCTTCCTGAGTCCATTGGTGGCTTTCCCGACTCGCTAGCTCAATTTGATCAAGAGTTATTGACGAAAAACTAATATGACCTTGATGACGTCATAAATGACGTCACGCAAGGTCAACATTGCAAAAGTGACGCATCTAACCTTGCAAAGAGTGCATCAAATCACGATTATGTGTGCTTGAGATAGTTGGAGATCGTTCCCGGCGCCAGAATAGCAGTTTTCATTTTTCCCCATTGACTTATAATGGTGAGGTCACGAAAATGACCTGACCTCATATGACCTTTAGGAAAAATCCGAGATATAAAAGTTGTGGGACTCATAATGGATACTAGATCCTGCAAGTTTCATTTCCCTGTGACATCTCCTCTGGCAGTGAGAGCGTTGCGAAGTTGCGACATCTGAAGACCGTGCAGAGGTTCACTTATGACGTCATAGGTCAGTGACCTGACCTGACCTGACCCAAAAATGCGGTTGGTGTCAAAAGATCCGGCTTAGATCAAAGGTCAGGTATGCCAAGTTTCAGCTCTCTATCGCCAGCGTGTTCGGAGCTATCGCAAAAAAACCCTATGGGGGGGGGGGCGGCACCCGCCCCCCCCCTCGGCCGGCGAGGGTTAACCCTCGCATGTGTGCGGCGTTTGCCAGCTTCTAATGTGTAGGGGGGGGGGGGGTCGGTTGGACCCCCCCTTGCCGTTTGGCCCCTGATGGAGCTAGAGCTTCGCGGAAAAACGAGCGTGTTGCCCGTGACGAGAGGAAGCCGATGATACCCAATTTTAAGGTCCTAGGTCATTGGTTGACCTTCCAGGTCAGGTCAATGACCCAAAGTCGGGAAAATCGGGACCTGTTAGAAAGTCGTAAAGTGTGGCTGCTAAGGGTTTTTTCGGGGTGCTGATCACGAATATCGTGTTAGTTTTGATCACAGATGATGTCTTTAAGCATTTAGACCAGGTCGGGTCAGGTCAGGTCAGGTCAACCTGTAGGCGTCGTGACGGGTATTAGTAGTACGTGTCAACCGCCTCTGACAGCTTCGTAACATGTTACGAAGGCACCAAAACTACTTCGTAAATGTTCAAATGTTTGCTAAATTCGAATTCAGCTCCAAAAACTAGCCTAGAAACATGTACAGCTCGAAAAAGTGAACCGAGGTCACCCGAGGTCACCAAAGGTCAATGACCTGACCTGACCTTCAGGTGACCTTGACACCCACCCTAATGCATGGAAGCAACATCAAATCACATGTTTGAACGTTTGAAACCACGAAAAGCTTGCAAACGCGCGGCTAATGCGAGCCGACATACGCAGAATCGCGATTCCGGCCAAACATGGTCTCGGAAAAGAGGTCACAGCCAGGTCAAAGGTCATTTGGGTCAGGGTCATGAAATTTTCAGGGTAGGTGTAAAATTGATCAATGTGAGGGTACTGAAAGTTTCGTCGCGATCGGCCGCTTTTTACGCGAGTTATTCGCGAAAAACCATGGGGGGGGGTCCATCCGACCCCCCCCCCCCCCCTACACATGCGAGGGTTAAATAGCAGTCGGCGAAATAAGTGTCGCTGAAACGAAGTTTTCGCTCACAATGATACCGCTACTTTTGATGATCGCTTAAATTGATATAATGGCTGAATTGCCAATTGCTGAAAACAGTTCGCTCCAATGACGTTCGCTCAAATGACACTCGCTAAAGTCGTTCGCACCGGTTCAAATTCGTAGAAAAGAGTAAGTAGTCTACAAATATATTAAAGAAGCAATTAGAAATCAAGCGGACCGGTTACGTCTTGTAGTGTCGTATGAACTGACGCTGGGCCGACGCGGCCGGCAGCCGGCGTCGAGCCGGCCGCGTGGGGAGGCCGGCGGCCGACCTGCCCCGCGGCGGTCACGTGGGCAAGGTGACGCCGACTGGCCGTGGCCCGGCCGGGGGAGAGCTGGTGGAGCGCCGGTCAGCGACGGACGCTCTTGCGTGCAGGTCGAAATGTGCAACTGCATTATCATGAGTTAAGTCTCTATCCTGTGTTTATGTGAACAATATATAGCACGTCTATAAAATACCTCGTCGTTTAAAAAAAGGAAACTCCAGCGTTTTTGAAAAAGCGCTGAAAAAGTCTTTTGTAGACGACAAAACCGGTCCGGTTGATTTGTAATTGCTTCTTTAATATATTTGTAGACCACTTGCTCTTTACTACATACTTGTCCATTTTAATATGCCTAAGCACAGCTCAGAAACATGACCCTGATTGTGAATGTCAGTCTATTATAACGCATTCACTTCGTATGTGGGTCTGCTGGTCCTCGTCCGTATTTTTTAGGCAAACAGATGCCTTTTGACGACGTTCGTTATAGATTGAGGTAGACCGGTAGGTATCAAAAATTAAGAAACTGAATTGCTCGTGACTGCCAGGTCGAGCGGTATCCGGATTGGAGGGACATGTCGCTTATGTCCAACTACGAGAAGTCGTGGGAAACCAGACTGACTTACCTTCAGGACCGTGTCAAGAAACTGGTAGGTCGCATTTATATTTTATATCATAGCGATGTCGATTGTCAAATTGTTATTACCATCTATGCTGGTATGGGGTATATACCTACGGTCACAGATAACAGTAGTACTAGTACTACTGTTACTGTTATCTGTGCTACGGTACTTAATCATCATAACTTCATGCATCCCCGAACACATAAAATGCATTTGCATTTTAATTATTTACAGTTTAAACGTATTTTAGACATCTAAGAACAGAAAAGCATGCATGTCAAAATGAAGGTTATGGAGCAGGCACCCTACCCTTTAGTCACCACTCAGCGTCAGCACGCAAACAACATGTCTTGATGGACAGCATATTCGCTATCACCGATCACGGAATGCGATGTGTGTTGTTGCTTGTTTTAGAAACAAGGGCCCGCTGCATGCTGCGCACAACATCCGAGCGCTGCTTGACGGGTAGATGACGGTCCCATCGCTCTACGATAGGTCGGTGACGGCCTCATCGACGAGTACGTGGCGACGACGTCGTTCGCGGAGGTACCGTTCAGTTGCTGTCGCCCGGACGCCGCGTCCACCTGGTGTGTGCGGCAGTATCTCGTCTTCAAGCTGTACGCCTACGACTTCAAGACCAACTCCACAATATTCAAACGGGGCTGTCCCAAACAGGTTAGCCAAAGCCTTACAGTTCTCGATTCATTCGTCGATTGTAGAATCAGTGTCGGTTCTTGCACATAATCTGAGTAGATAGCAAGTAGGTATAGCCTACACCGACTAATCAAAACAGAGCACTGATTCAGCTTAGTTTAGTATGCCTAACCATGCGCATTTAAATGTTTATAGTTTTGGGAGATGATGAACACCGCTGCTTTTGCAATGCTTCAATGTCAATTTCGTACTATTACTCCATTTGAGCTATCCTAGCAGTATTTTGTCAGCGAGTGTAAATCAGTTGTAAGCCACGAGTCCAACGTAAGTCCGCGCCGTCCGCTGCCGTTTCGTTGCCGGCCAGGTGGAGGCGTTCCTGAACGGCCGCCTCTCTGGCGTGGGTGTGGCGCTGCTGGTGCTGATGGGGGTGCGCGTGCTGAACCTGCTGATGCTCCGGCTGGTGCAGACGTCCACCTCTAATGCGCTGCTGGCCCGCCGCCACCTCTCCGAGGCGCACGGATGGCTCTTCACCACGCGACGCGCTAGGGTCAGTCAGAGTAGCGTGATACTCACAGTCAATGCACCGCTAACTGGCCGGAAGTACCTAATGCAAAAACTACCTCTCCGGTTCTTCACCTGACTCAATTATTGTCGTCACCTTCCTCAGGCCACCGGCTCTTCGGACGAGGAGCGTCACCTTCTGGCGGACGAAATCATCTCCGACCTGACCCCGTCTGACGAGGACTCACAGGAGGACGAGGACGGGGTCACGTCGGAGACCAGCGACGGAGACGGGGAGAGCGGGTCCGCCGCCTCCGGCACCACTGAGCCCTCAGACGGAGACGGGACGACCGAGACGACTGGAGAGGGGACCAGCGAGACGACCGCAGACGGCCCGACGGAGACGACCGGAGACGGCCAGACGGAGACGACAGCAGATGGAGAGACGACAGACGATCTCACAGAGATCACCACACTGCTGGCGCCGTCTGATGTGTCGTAATGAAGTAGTGATGATCTTATGTGTCGTAATGATCTAATGAGATCTATATGAAAAATCCAAAGCTTATGAGTGTCAGCGCTAGCGGTTACTGTCGTAGACACTATATTTAGTAGAAATCGTGGCGCTCATGGTCCCGAGCTTGCCCTTCGTCCTGACACATGGAAGTGCCTACGCACGCCGTCCTGTAAAATGCATTTACTCGGGTGTTGGCACCGCTGTGCGGGTCGATTCTGGGACGGCGTGTGGCGATCGATACCAGCTCGCCGTACAGTGTTATACTTTTATAACATGTCTTTCATTGTTGTCATTGCCGTTTTATTGTTGTTCTTTTGTCTTGTTTATTGTTGCCGTTATTATTGCCGTTGTGACTGTTGTCACTGTTGAATATCTTAGGTGGTTTGTAGCAGTGCTTATTAAAATATATTTATTATAAATTCATATATTGGCTATTGCATATGTATTTGGCTTATAATTACCAGGCATTACCGATTCAACGCAGCTATTCATAATCATTTCCAGAGCCCAACGCTCGAAAGCAAAAGATAGTTCTACAACCACACATGAACCTATGCTTAGTAGACTAGGTCTATGTGTGTTCCGATGTGTCACGGATTAGTTACTTTTACATGTGCACACATTCAGGATTTGCTGTCATCTCGAAAACGGCTGGTCGCTACTCGCTGGACCGATAATCATTTGGATTTCATTTATCACGATCAAAACAAGCCGGCTAGATGACAACCTCTACAAGTCAATTATTCAGCCTTTAAAATGTGCATATACAACTGAAGAAAGTAAAATCTTGTACTGTAAAGTATTTTTTATTATACACACAAGTAAAAATGCAGACTCTTGCAATTACTCTGAGAACGGGAACAGCAATAAATCATTGCCGGTAGCCGCTATAGTTTAGTTGCGGTGTCTTATTTCAAGCACATAATGAAACAGCCTCGTCATAATTGTAAATCCTATAAGAATTTACTCTTGTGTTCATTCAGTGAGTAAAGGAGCGAAAATGGAGTTATGCTCACCAATCAGCGATTTTAACTTACATAATTTGAGCACAGTGAGCGGCTGGTCTTCTTTTTGAACAGCTTTTTTTCCTTTCATAGTTGTCATTGGGTTGTCAATGTCATGCAATACCTATATGATATGCGAGAGTCGTACACTTATCAGAAAAGTCAATTAGGTCTTTGACAAATATAATATTTATATAAATCATATCATATGTGATCTAGATCGATTGTTAACAGCAAGAAGGTCCCACTGTAAGCCTACTTTGATATTGTTTGCATTGTGAGTAGACCTCAGATTTTGCTTCTATTTTTATTTCAGTAGGCGGAACTATGGTCAAGCGTACCTACCCATTTTCGGGAACGCATTTTCGTTCCCATGTTTGGGAACGATAAACCCAAATATGGGAACGCCATGTAGGCATTATTTAAAACAAGAAAAAGAACCGTTAAATGACGTCCAAAAAATATAAAACGATTGTGAACCGCCTGATAGTTGTCTCAATATTGTTGGGAAAGAGTTTGATATTGTAAGGCCCATCGTAGTTTCAAATCGTTCCCCTATTTCTAAAGCAGTCCATCACCCGGGCCGCGAGCCCAAATTTGGGAACGCTCTCGTACACTGGCGCTGCAAGCGTTCCTTATTATGGGAACGGCGTACCCAAAATTGGGAACGATTTCACCGACGCCTTTCAGGGGCTCTTTTCATTAACAAGCATCACGTCCAACGCCGCAAATTATTGTTAACGCAACAATCATCAGATGACCTTTCCGGCAAGACCGTTGCATGTTTCGCCCGGTCTTCTGCGCTTTTATTCCCGTCGATCTCGCAGCGGACACGCCCCCCTCTGCAGGATTACGTAATCCACAACGCTCAGCGATGTTCAACAAGGTCTTCCATACCTATATCCACCGTCCGCGCCGAGGGTGGAGACATGTCAAGCACCTGTCTGCTAATCACCGAGAGTTGACGAGCACAAGAAGTATCCAAAAATGGGAACGCTGAATATGTTACACCCTCAAAACACCTAGTCCCAATGAAAATCTAGTTTTTTCCTTTCTTAATGGGTGTAAGTGGCAAAAGGCCTGGTAGGATGGGCACGAGGAATGATCGACATCAGCATAAAAATTATAAATAAGTCACACAGAGCGACCTATATCAGAGAAATTCCTCCCAAACGATCATGCTTAGAAACGCCGAAGACAAAAACCACGCTCATAACGCTGCTTATAAAACAACGCTAAACAGCTAGCATCCAAATAAAATATGTCTTTCAGGGCTGATAAAATACAGCTGAATGATTTTAAACCACTGAAACTGAGTTTACAACAGTAGTTCGGTAAAATCACTGACGTTCCACGCGGTCGATCGCCCCGACACCAAAAGTCAACAATATTACCTCTGGACTGTCCGCGTGTTCGCTTGCATATGTCAGCATCTGGTGTCGCTAGAATGAAACTTCATAACCAGGCGAAAATTATTATACTTGACCTCAAACTGTAAAAAATGCTTCATTTTCCTTAAAATTGCATGTTAAATGTCGTATAACCCATATTTCCACCATTCTGTCATTTTTAAAAAATCATTAAAAATATCATTCCACGGTCAATTTCCTTGTTCCACGGTCAGATTAAAGATAACTTTATGGAGATTTAGTAGATACTTAAATCAGCGTGCACTTTTTTGAGACGTGATGCACTTTTGAGTTTTAGTGGGCGAACGGCCGAAAAATTGTCTTCCGTTCTCATAAATGGGAACGCCCGTTCCCATATTTGGGAACTCCGTTCCCAAAAATGGGAACGTTCCTATATTTGGGTACTCATGACCATAGTTCCGCCTACTGATTTCATCCGTTTAATTGCATTGGCATTGACTTTTATTCCATTTATTTGATTTTAGGTTTGATTGTATTTGTAACTTTGGTCAATTTAGGTAAGGTCAACTCAACTCACCTAGTAGGTTTCCCGCCTCAGCCATATGAATTCGACAGGTGGATGGAAGTGAAAGGGAAACCCATTTCGGATAGAGATGCGCCGGCTCAATACATTAGGTCAATATATTATACAGGTCAATATATAATACAATACAATAGGTCGTTTTATATTATCTGAGTCTGGTTGCTTTTTGCAGGATTTGGATGGTTGTGTTGTGTTGAGCTTCAGTGCCTGCCCAGTGCCCTGGGGCCTGGGCCCAATCTTTTAATCACTATGGAAATGATTTTGGAGTACCGTAAAATGGGGTGTTAAGGGACAGTGGGGTGTTAAAGGAAATAGTCCACTTTTAACATGGGATTTTGAACTGGAATAGCAGTTTCGTAGCTTGAGCTGAGACTAGCACAAATCAGGAGCTTTTACGGCTCAACGATCACCCTAGACGAAGATATTCCATTTCTCGTTCCGAAAAGAGTGCCTTGCAGAGGAATGTGTGCCTTGCACAGGAATGCAGCCACGTCATCGTCAGCCAATCAGCATGCTGCTTACAGCTAATGCAGCATGCGTAGGTTTGAACTACGCAATATGATTGGTCAACGCGTAACAAGCTTCCGCGTCAATCATTATTTTACATAGAATATAGTTCGTCCTATATTAAAATATAGAAAGTAATTGTTTTTACAAAAAGGTTTTATTTTATTTTCTGATCATTTTGAGCATAAAAAATCGTAAATCCATAGCAAAATACTAATTTCAGGAAAGTGAACTGTTTCCTTTAAGGGACAGTTGCATGGGAAAAACTTTGAGTCATATTAACTTCCTAATTGGAGAAGGTTCAATAAAAACTTCAGTGTGGTAGTTGACACTGTTTTGCTCTTGACCATAGGACAAAATGGTATGGTTTTTCATGCAAGTGATTTGGTTCAAAAATGGATTTGAAAACCATGCTACATTTTCACAAAATTGAAACATCTCCAAAACTCTGTGTGTACCACATAAACGAGTGGGTGTACAGGGAAAATGAATGCATAGGTGTATTGTCACATGTATTGCACATGTTTCCTGAAAAATTTGTGCAAATCCACACATTCATTCATCATCCTCTTCCTCTTTTCCGGATACATGCATATTTGGGGTGCTAAGGCACAGGGAAGAAAAAATAAAAAATAATATCTTAATATAATTTCCTCAAGTTTTCTTTCAGTAGGCATGGAAAACACCAAATTCCACATAAAATGCTGGCAAGTTCATGCTTTTATCTCTAACACATCTTAAGTCATGTAACAAAACATCTCAACACTCTTTTACAATGATGGGTCAATGGAGACTGATGTAGGTAAATGTGATGTCATCATAAAAAGACTAAAACAAAGAGGGCAACATAATGACAAGTGACTAGCTTCAACATGGGTTTTTATTGATGACAGAAGATTACTTTTTGGTTCTGTTTAACTCATAATGAGCACATTTTCCACAAGCGTAAACTGCATTACACGTAATTTAACACCCCGTTTTACGGTATTGGCATAAGTGCAGCTGCAGAAAGATGAAAAGGCTATTTTATTTAAAATGATTGAAAATGTTTTTTACCCACTGCAGTCCATTGTAATGCATATATTGACATTCCATTAATCTTAACAGCCATTGTGCAAGCATAATGTGTATTATAATAACTTATTATGAGTGAGTACATAGGCATAGGAATGGGGGGGGGGGTCATACTCATGACCCCCACTTTTCAGCCATTTTTTAAGTAAAATATTTATTTTTGATATAAATTCAAAACTAAGAGCAGGAAGTTGTTCAGCAAGGTGAGATGGGCATAAAACTGCAAAGAAATTTTCTTCATAGGGGTATTGGGGCTCCCACAAAGTGACATTGAAGTTTTTCTCCCCCCACACTTTTTGTGAGGCTCCTATGCCCATTCAGCTATGTAGATAATGTATGAAGACTCGCCATGACATGGATTTAGGATTATGTGGTTTCTACGTCATTGCAAAAGTGATGTATGAGTGAGTATAAAGTCAGGCTTCTCATTAAAATGGAAAAATCTCAGTATGAGCAGTAGGTACCTAGTCCCATCCCAGCGGCTAGCCTGTACCTAATGCAGTGTCCCAAATTTTGCCAGTTTGGGTGGGAAGTGACATGCAAATCAAAATAATTTTCCACTCTCACCTCCAATTTTCAGTGCAATTTTTCGCTCACTATTTTACCAATAAAGAGCATCTGCGTGTACCTTTTTTCTCCCTCCATATTCGATTCGCCTATCTTATAAATTAGCTCACACATCCTCAGAAATTCACAAATAAATTGTTGATCCCTGTTTCCGCTCCGTTTCTGTGCCATTCTGACGGAGAAGTGTCCACTTTCAGCCCTCTTTGTAGTGACGAATATTCCCCTCAGACACCCAAGCCAAAATATAATTTTGGGACACTGTAATGCTTCAGTTCTAAGAGGCTTAACCCTCGCCCGTATTGGTGTTTTTCCAGCCGCGAACGTATAAGGGGGGGGGGGGTCCGTTGGACCCCCCTTGCCGTTTCGCTCCTGATCGAGCTAGAGCTTCGCGGAAAAAAACAAGCGTGCTGCCCGTGACGAGAGGAAGCCGATGATACCTAATTTTAAGGTCCTAGGTCATTGGTTGACCTTGCAGGTCAGGTCAATGACCCAAAAGTCGGAAAATCGGGACCTGTTAGAACGTCGTAAAGTGTGGCTGCTATGGGGTTTTCGGGGCGCTGATCACGAATATCATGTTAGTTTTGATCACAGATGATGTCTTTATGCATTTAGTCTAGGTCGGGTCAGGTCAGGTCAGGTCAACCAGTAGGGGTCCTGCCGGGTATTCCTAGTAGGTGTCAACCGCCTCTGACAGTTTCGTAACATGTTACGAAGGCACCAAAACTTCTTCGTAAATGTTCATATGGTTGCTAAATTCGAATTCAGCTCCAAAAACTGGCCTAGAAACATGTAAAACTCGAAAAAGTGAACCGAGGTCACCAAAGGTCAATGACCTGACCTGACCTTCAGGTGACCTTGACACCCACCCTAATGCATGGGGGCAACATCATATCACATGTTTGAACGCTTGAAACCACGAAAAGACTGCAAACGCGCGGCTAATGCGAGCCGACATACGCCGAATCGCGATTCCGGCCAAACATGGTCTCGAAAAGTAAGTCACAGGTCAAAGGTCATTGGGGTCAGGGTCATGAAATTTTCAGGGTATGTGTAAAATTGATTTACGCGAGGGTACTGAAAGTTTCGTCGCGATCGGCCGGTTTTTACGTGAGTTATTCGCGAAAAACCATGGGGGGGGGGGTCCGTTCGACCCCCCTATACGGGCGAGGGTTAAAACCTGCTGATGATCTTTTATAACCTAACATGACCTTTTTAGTGCCTGCTGGGCATCAGCTTCACCCTCTCCATTGCATATGAGTGGAATGGCTATGTTTCTATAAATATTTTGTGGTTTGATGTGTTTGTTCAAATTAGCAGGCATTTGTACTTTTCCCCTTTCCTTACTATGGTGAAGTCACAAAATACTGACTTCAAGTCACAGATATTGATATGAAAAAATCTGAGAGATAGAAGTTGTTCGTATTGATAATTGATATCATCATGCAGTTCACTGAGTTTCAAAGTTTTACAAGATAAGCTGTAGGAGTAAGAAAATCCCAAAGTTTTTAGAGACATTGCTTCTTAATTTGACTTGGTGACCTGACCCTAGGTGACCTATTTTTTAGACAGTATTTCTTAACTTGACCTGGTGACCTGGGGTCAACAATTTTACACCATATAAAGTTAATGTATGCATTGCTTAGCTATGCCTTGTTTTGCTGCGCCATGGTTTTATTTACCATGCCTAAAAAAGCAAAAACCAGGAGTACCCGACCCCCAACCCCCAACCCGCCAACCGGCATAAAGTTAAGTGGTAATAGGTGAGACAATATTTGTTTTACTACAGGTGATGTTGTGTTTTCCATCTCTCACTGTCTCAGCATGTTTGACTGTGATGCCTGTCTCCACAGCCACGGCGGCAGTGATGTCACTGCGCACATCTGTCGAGCTCGGTGACCCGGCGGACATGTGTCTGAAGCGCGAGCCGCCGCTGTCGCCGCCGGCCCAGCCGCCGTTCTCTCGCTGCTCGTCGACCGGCTCTCTGACGGCCGCCGGCTCGTGCCACTCGGCGCCCGCCTCTGATGATGAGGACAGCGACAGTCGCGCGCACACCCAGACATACAAGGAGAGGCGCCGAGAGGCGCACACCTTCGCCGAGCAGAAGCGGCGCGACGCCATCAAGAAGGGTTACGACATGCTACAGGAGCTGGTCCCCACATGTCACGCGCAGGAGGGCGCCGCGGGCACGCCCTACAAGATGAGCAAGGCCGCCGTGCTGCAGAAGTCGATCGAGTACACGCAGTACCTGCTCCAGCAGAAGCGCCGGCAGGAGGAGGAGCTGGCCAGCCTGCGGAAGGAGGTGGTGGCGCTGCAGATCCTCAAGGCTAACTACGACCAGGTGGTGAAGGCGCACCAGGCGCGGCCGGGCCCGCAGGACGCCCAGGTCTCGGACGAGGTCAAGTTCCAGGTGTTCCGCGCAGTCATTGACAGCCTCTTCCAGTCGTTCGAGGCCAGTGTGTCCACCAACAGCTTCGCCGAGCTCTCCGGCTCGATGATCGCCTGGATGGAGGAGGATGTCAAACCGCAGGTGCTGCGCGACACCTGCGTCCGCGTGCTCAGACAGATCAAGCCGAACCTCTAGCGGCCAGTGTGCCTTGGCGGTAAGCAGCATAACGCGTGAGTACCGCTGGTGCGTCTGCTGTTGTATTCTCAGTTTTAGTGGGAGGCTGTTTGAATCATGGATAAGCCATGCGAGTGGGTAGTTAGCTGTGGTATATCGTGTGCACCATGATACGGGTGCGAGCAGAGGTGCTGCCCTCGGCCCGGGAGGCCGGGCACCGCAGCGCCCTCTGCCCTTCCTTCACGAACCCGGTACGTGCCAGGAAATGTTATCGCACTCGTGTGTGCGGCACCTGTTTCAGCCGTCGATGATTTAAATGTGGTCTGAGGCACCGCTCAATGTAGCACCTGTGTGAGCTCCATACACTAAGCAGTAAGGTTTGTGCGGTAGGCTATAAAAGCAGCTCAGGTTTGTGCAATAGATCACTGCCTCCCTCTCTGTAAAAGTGCATATACGAAGCTCGCTCATCCTGCAGTCCACAAGGTTAGCAATGACCAAAGTGGATGAAGTCAGTGTAAACAGGACTTTACTGTCCCAAATGTTTTAAATTTCCAAAGCACCGAATTTCTAACGTGCGTAATAAGTTTTTACGTTCACCCGGAATTAAACGAAACCCGTTATACATAGGACATCAGACGAGCTTTGGCTCAGCTTTTCAAGACGCTACAGCTCGTATGTTTAGATAATCAAGTTAACATTATGACCTGTCTGAGGAATAGAGGCTATTTTTGATCTTATGCAGGGTCCCAGAGATCGCACATAACTAATTAGAAGTGTACGCTTTAGTCAGTGACGAAAAGTAGCTGCAAAGTATGACTGTTGAGTAACAATCACAGCTTTTCGATTGTGGGTTTGTGTACCTGAACAATGGGTGGACACTTGTTATCAACAAAATTAAGTTTTTCCTTTGCTTGGCATAGGTCAGCGATTTTTTATATTGGCTGTTTTCAGCAGTGCCTACAAATATGGCCATTATGAGGTTAACATTTCCTAATTATTTTCTAAATATAGGACTTATGCCTTATTTGGTAATGATTCGGAATCTATATCGACCTTATGTATTACGAGCGTCCTTTTTGGCTGTTATAACCATGGTGGCTATGCTGTTTATTCTCGGTCCAATGGCCAACCAGTAGCTCATAAAGTGCAGGAGTTGTTACCAGCTGAGGAGTGTGAGTGTATTTGTAATTCTGTTTGTCGAGTTTGTGCAATGGTACAGTGTTTTGTGAGTGGTGTGTATCAGGAAACTTCTTATTTTCTCCTCTTTTCTCGACAATTTCTCTGAATGAGTTTTTTTTTAATTACAGCACTAACGCTGCCTTATCTCGGCTAGGTGTTGCAGAGGTGTGTTGTATGAATTATTGTCCATTAGATGTACTGTGGTGGGTAAAAATATATGGCTATCCTCAGTTAGTTTCTTATGAATCGAATGGAACACATAACACTAATGCGGATGGATGAAGGGTCACTGAAACAAGTCGCGTACGGTTCTGATGCACTGCGTACGGGAACTCAATTATGGGGTCGGATCTATATACTGTATTGTATGTATTGGAGCTACCTTGGTTCCACGAGTATAGTGGTTACTGGTATCAAGGCTGCGCAGTCCGCGTGTATGGTTGAAAGCAAAAATCCATTACCCTTTCCAGCTACCCGAGGATTTTCAAAATCTGGTCACGCGCTTCAGAACTCGGCTGCACTGGCTGCACTGACCATAGTGTATTCCTTTTAGTCGGTCTACTCAGAAAACTAATCAAAGGTTCTACTTTACCTACGCATTACAATTCTTTGAGCGTTTGCATTCCGATATATCATCTCCAATGCCTCCACACCGCCATGGTGAGGGTAATCTCCGCACTGGGAGACCCGTGCCGCCGAGTCGGCGCCCTCTCAAAGTCGGAGTAACGCGGACAGCAGCGACCGTACGTCAGAGGCGTCTCATAATTCGGCTGACGCTCGGCTCCGAGGCGTGGGGCACGCTCTGGGAGCGATGACATATCTGTGTCGTTAAGTCTGAGCGACTGTGGCGCTCAGCGGCCGACCGTGCCGACTCAGAGCCACCGCGCCGACGCGACGATTGAGACGCCTCTGTGACCACCGCGCGCCGTGACTTCTAATAGCGGCCTGTTGCAACGCTGAGAGCTGGACTCACGTCAGGACTTATTTAAAGCTGAAAAAGCTTTTCAACCCGAGTCTGGACTTGAATACCTGATTTTACGATCTGTTGCTTGTCATTGGACTCCCATTATGTATATGCTCTCATCTGCCCCCACATTTCTTAGCTCACTCTGCCAATGCCGAGCTGTTCCCCTATATGTACTACCTGCCGTCCAAGTTCGACCTGCGTCGGTCCATGTTCGGTCGTCAGAGTACGCCGGGCCGTTCGATGTCACGTCGCTGATATCATCGGTCGGGGTTTACGGCGCTGTGCCTCGTCGATGTCATTGTGTCGCCACCGTCCCAGCGACAGTGGATCACGTGCCTCGGGCGGCGGGCATCCCGACGCCGCGGGGAGGCGCTCGGCAGGGGCTGAGAGGGGGGGGGGGGGAACATCTGGGGCCTGGGGGACAGTCACTGGCGAGCCGACTACGAATTGAGGAGAGCACGGGGTCATGTGACAGAGGGCAGCTGAACCTGGTTGAGGGAGTCGGATCTGAATCATGTTGAGACGATCTGAATTAAACTGAGGGGTCAGATCTTGTTTGGGAGTCGGATTATGCTGGTGAAAAGGAATCTTAATCAGGGTCTTTGGTAATATATGGGCTCAGGAACGGATAATATCTGACTGATAACCAGTTATTATTGATAAGAAAAGTACAGTGATGATTCCTCTAATGTATTATGTAGCCAAAGGATTTCCTTGTCAGTCTGAAAATGGCTTTCTCATTCCATAACTGGCTGGTCTCGTGAGCTGTGATCGATGCGGGGCTAATTTGAAACAGGAGTCAGCTAGACGCACGATCGTGCGTGACCTAAAAGGTATAATGACGTTCAGTTTGAATATGTCGGATCAGGATGGGAACGATACGTCAAGAGCTCTTTGTGGGTGCAAGCGACCTGAGAAGGCATTGTGCTAGAACAAAAAGGAGCGCACATAAAGAGCTGGTGACGCTGTCGTGTTGGCCAGATCAGCGTCTGATATTGCCGACGTACACGGCGCCTGCGATGATGAGCGGCGCTCAGTGCGATCACAATATTCCATCCGGCTGGGCGGGGCGCCCTGATGGAAGATGAGCAGCCCTGTTCTGGGCGCTGGTACCCTGCCGCGCCGGACACTGGAGCGGGGCGGCGGCCGACGCGGCGCACCGCTCTGTCGCGCTCTGTCGCGCGGTGTTTTATGGCGCCTCTCGGCCGGCTGACGCGCCACGTGCCGGCCACTGGTCCGCGGCACGGTCTCGCCCTCCGTCGGGCCGGCGGTCTGCAGGACACAGTGGCGGCACGCGCCGTTTTTACACGGTGCGCTGCCGTCGTGAGCGTCGCGCGTGTTTTTGGCAGGGCGCGCGCCGCTCTGATGGATCGCACTACTGCCGGTGCCGCCGCTCTCCGGGCCGGCCGCGATACTGCTGCTTCACCGGGATTAAAGGGGCGTGTGCCGGCTACTGGGATGGAGCGGCGTGCCGATCTAGGGTACCGCCACACGCACGGCGCCCAGGGCTGCCGCAGGAGACCGGCGCCGGTCAGCGCGGGTCGCTGCACAGGTGCGGTCCAAACGTCTCACTGCATCAGTAAACCTGGGCCAAAGGTCGGCTGAGCCGGCGCGACAGCTCACCGACCAACCAGCGGGGGACGGCCTAAATCAGAGCATTATCAGCGCCGCACCGGGCCCGGATGTGACTGAACTGACGGTGCATTCGGCCAATGGCTCGGCCCTGCAGAAGTGGTCCACCATTTGACTCAAAAGTTATCTGGTGTTTGGAGGGCTTCAGGTAAAAAAAAAAAAAAAAACGAGTCGGTGCAATCGCACAACTATGTAGTTGAAACATTATAGGGTGACCGGTTTTGCAAAAAGTTTCGAAAAGTTTTGCTCCCCAGGCCTAATCTAACGTATTTGGGGGTGCTGATCACGAATCCGGCGGAAAAAATATAAAATTCGATTTTTTTTTGACCGCCCCGGCTCTTTGAATATTTCCGGTTTTCTCCATTTTTGCATGTTTTTGAATAATATGATGAATGTAATGAAAATTTATTAACAATGTATCGCTAAATGCATGTACCAGTCGATTCGGCATACAGCGGCGTCGAAATCGGCACGCCGCCTGCTTCACCGGCCTCGCAGGAAAGCATAAGACTCGGAAGGTTTGCGTTAGTTACCCGATTCTCTCCATAGATGGCGCTGGCGTAGCCGCCCGCCGGCCGGTCGTTGCCGTGCCGTTCACAGCCCCGGCGGTCACTTGCGACCGTCGTGGTCGTTATGCTACGTCTATCAAAGCACGACAGAAATGTTCACTTCATTTTTATGTTACTTCAGACATATTTTAGACCTAATGTTGAATTGGATAAATGACTATCGTGAATTGGCGAAATAGTGGAGTGCGCTCGGGAGCCATTTACAATAGCGAGGAACGTAGGTGGATTGATCTGAGTAACATATGACACTGCGTTCACTGTTGATATGAAGTTTATTCACACTATGTAGTCGGGTGACATGACAACAAAGTGACTAACATACCTTGTGTACGACAGGCGACACATGGATGAAGCTAATGCTACTTTTTCATTTTGTTTCGGTAGGCCCGTTTGTTCAGAGCGTAGCCGTCCTGTCGGTCTGCGCCTGTTACAGCTGTGACTGATTCGGTGGTCAGCTTTACAGCCCTTTCGGTGGATTGGGTATGGCAGGGGACCCCCTTTTTAAGGGGAGTCTGTAGAAAGTCGCGCAACTCATCCTCGCTCATGTGTCGTACACAAGGGGGCTCAATGTCTCGGCCCTCGTCAACCGCTCGCTGCACGCAGGGGCGTAGGCAGGGGGGGGCCACTGGGCCATGGCCCCCCCCCCCCCTTTGGGCGCCGAAGGCGCCCTCCAATCGCAAATGCAATTGTGATATAATCGAATCGAAAAACAATCGCGACTGGAGGGCGCCCTCCAATCGTGAATGTGTTTACAGGGAAAATACGGATGGAGGGCGCCCTCGGAGGACGCCCATTCCAAATACGCCCTCCAAATACGGTTGGAGGGCTCCCTCGGGCGCCCTCCAACCACATTTGTAGGCTGTAGCTCTCTAAGCGTAACGGTGGTCGCCTATGTAAGCCGCTGTCCTGTAAATAAGCGCCCTCTCACCCGAAGGCGCCCTCCTGTAGGTCGCCACCCTGCTACACATTGCCGCCCTTCTGCTGATCGGCGTCCTCATAATTATTGGCGCTCTTCTACCTATTGCGCCCTCATGTGAAATTTTGAAGGCCGCCTTTCTCCCTTTTGGAACCCTCTTGTTCAGTGCCGCCCTCCTACCTATTGGTTCCCTAGTCCTTCCTGTTGAATGCTAATCGGGGCCCTTCTCCTATTGGCGCCCTCGTGTTGATCGCCGCCCTCCTAACCACTGGCACCCTCCTGTTGATCACCGCCCTCCTATCTACTGGCACCTTCCTGTTGACCAGCGCCCTCCGCACAGACGCCGTCCTGTTCGTGTCATCCTCTTGAGCAAAGGCGCCCTCCTCACCATTGCCACCCCCATTTTAATCGTCACCCTTCCGCTCATTGGCGACTTGCAGTTGATGACCGCCCTCCCACCTATTGGCGACCTCTTGTTGATCGCCACCCTCCTATTGGTGCTCTCCTGTTCCTCGCCACCCTCTTACCTGGTGGCGCCCTCCTGTTGATTGTTGATCGGGGCCCTCCTACCTATTGGTGCCCTCCTGTTGATCGCTGCCCTTCTATCCATTGGCGCCCTCCTGCTGCTCGCCAACTTCCTACCTATCGGTGCCCTACTGTCGAAACTCGGGATGTTGATCGGGGCTCTTCTACCTATTAGCGCCCTCCTGTGGATCGCAGCCCTTCTGCCTATTGGCAACATCCGTTGATCGCTGCCCTCCTATCATTTATTTACTCCTTTGGCATGTTCTTCAACTTAGTCGTTCTATTGCACATAGTTGATGTCTTGCCTGTGAAAACTGCCACAAATGAACGTGCATTCAGCACAATGAATGAAGTACCTATACCTACCAAAACTATCTACGCTCTACGATGCATAAAACACGTCTTTGGTCTTAACCCGCGCGGGGCTGGGGGGGTAAATTTTACCCCCCCTCGCGAATTTTTGCAATATCTCAAAAACGGCGGCGCGCAGCGCCGCCAAACTTTCAGTACCTTTTCCTACATCAATTTGACACGTTCCCTGAAAATTTGAGCGAAATCCGTCGGAAAATTTTTGAGAAATTGACGTTTTAGTGACGTCATGTTCGCCATTTTCGCCTCAAA